ATAAAACTAGTTACACGAAAATCTGTGAATTGACTAAAGTTACGATTTTTCATAGGTTTCCATTAGCATGGAAGAAAGTAAAAAAATTGTCATTTTTTGACATGAGTCGTTTCGCCAAGTTTTTGAGGTGCTCAGAAAAATACTAAACATAACGATTAAAAGTTGAAAATATGAGGATTTTTATCAAAACCTTCTTTTGATAAAATATAACTGTTGTTAATTGCTTGTTATATCTGTACAGCATTCTGATAATTAACACATACATATTACCAGATAGAATTGAACTATTAAACAAACTTCGAACAGCAATTATTAGTCACCATGACCTATTGGATGAGTCTCAAAATCCAGTTAAAACTAACGAGATATACAATAACGTCCGTCCTAGTTGCTGCAGTAATACATCTCAATAGATTTTACACTACGTATTGTAGCGAATGGGAGTATAAGCCATAATATTTTCCTTTTACCTTGGTTAATATAAATTTTAACAATAAACAAAATCGTAGATATCTGTGATGTTATATTAGTCTTGTATACTCCTACTTGATTATCTTCGAACATTTTGTTGATCGAAAAATATTCTTGCTTCATCCACGTTACCGTAGATGGAGCTAATAAGGCTTAGGTAGGGTATATATAAATAAACAAAATACGAGTAGCGGAAAAAGGGGCCAAAAAACCCTACATATATGCTTATTCTCTGCATTAAGTTTATCAGACCGAAGGTGTTAAATCATGTTTGTCCAGTAGGCCGCTAGGTTTTAATTTTGGCGGTACGATCTGTGATTGTCACAGCTGCCGCTAGATGGCGTAGAGCGTCTAGCACTCTCGCCATAGTAGTACGTTTTGTACTCAAATGCTATTCTCTGCTTTTCGTTGGTCAGATGCAAAGTCAGCCTGACGATGGAGATAAATCTCCGAAATCGGTCGTCGAATGGCTGTTCCCTTCAGTCTGATGAACTTAATGCAGAGAATAAGCATATATGTAGGGTTTTTTGGCCCCTTTTTTCGCTACTCGTATTTTGTTTATTTAAAAATATTCATTTCTACATTACTCATTAGTTATAGTTGTTTTAATCCTTTTGTGTACTTGTTATACAATCGCTGACTTTGACTGCTTTATTGTCTCTCTTTTAAACTTTGGTTTCAATATTCTATAACATCAAAATAAAACACTAATTCACCACAATACACCAAAACAACTTTACTTTTGCACTGGATGCGCATTTCGCTAACCATGTTCAGAAGATGATTAAAACTAAAACTGACTTCAGTTTCTGAATCAGTTTTAATCACCTGCTGATGATGCTAATATGGTTAAAGAAATACGCGTCCAGTGCAAAAGCAAAGTTGTTTTGGTGTATTGTGGTTAATTAGTGTTTAATTTTGATGTTATAGAACCTTAACAGCAAAGTTTAAAAGACAGACAATAAAGCAGTCAAAGTCAGCAGATGATTAAAACTTATAAACTGAAAAATCAGTTTTAATCATCTGCTAACATGTTAGCGGAACGCGCGTCCAGTGCAAACAAGTTGTTTGGTGTATTATTGTGGTGAATTACTCTTTTATTTTGCTGTTTAACACCAAAAGTTCCAACCCTCAACTGTAATCTTCTATAACATGTTCCATATCACATGTTCGATCCATTTCTAGCTTACATCTCCATGGGTCCCTACTCATACCAATATATTTTGTTATTCCTGGTAAGATTCCTCTCAATTCCATGACAGTTAGAGCCAATATCATCTGACATTCTAACAATTTAATTTCTTTGTGTTTTAATTTAAAAAAAATAACTTATTTTTTCTAGAGTGTTTATTTTCGGAAGTGTTGCCATATTGAAAATATTTTTAATCGATAGATCTCATTGTAAAACAATGATGTGCAAAAAATCTCCGATCTAGATATTGTAGTTCTCTGGAAACTTCTAATGCACGCTGCCTTGGGGACTCTGTATACTGTAAAACCACATTTACATACATACTTCAGTCCGGAAATTAAGGTTTTAAAAAGTCCGGTATTTTTTACCAGACGGGCCTATTTTTTATATCGTGCTGATGATTTTTTGGTATCAACTATCCTATAGCCTCGTTAGATTTCTTCATAAGTTCTTTCGGAATAAGATTTTCAGTACTTATCAACTTCATTTTATCAGCTTTTTTTGAACAGTTATGTTGCGGCCGTATTCCAAAGCATTCTGAGCCAAATTCAAATTTTATGTCAGTATCTACCGACAATGTTTTCACCAGTAAATACAATATTACCCAAAGCATAAATAAGCGGATTAAAAAATACTGAATTATTTAAAACATAGGTTTTATCCACAGAATATGAAAAACAACATTGTAAGTCATTCTTCCGCAATTACCTTTTACAGTATTCGTTTCGATATTCTCATAAAACCTCCTCACTCATACGGTAAAAACAAACCATAAATTGTCGAAGTCTTTACTCTATTTAACAACTTTTTCTCTAATGACAATATAGTAGGAATAAAAGGCCGAAACTTTACAAAATTTATACATTTATATGTAGTAAAATTTACATTTCTCTCTACTATAATAAATTGACCGCTAACTCAACGACCGACTGGAGTAATTGTACCATACGTGAGTACTACACTTGGGATAATTACACTTACGGAATTCGAGCGCCTAAATGGCAACATCGTTGGTATTTCGAGGAGTCAATCCATATTCATCAGCTAGAACAGCAATTGCTCATAACTCGTCAACGGCGCTTAGGCATGTGTCCATGTATTAACCGGATTTCTCGCAAGTTAGCGGATTATAAATGTATGCAACAAAGAGCAGAACGCGGACGCTTACATATATATTAATTAATCACGGTTAGAATAGAATAGAGAAGCTAAGCTTTAGCACAACTCCGTCCTTTATAAAACTACAGATATTGTTTTGGCATGTTGAAGTAATAAACATTCCATAATTGTTAGACACTTATAATACAGAGTGACGCCTCTCGGAGGCTCCAAGGCGAACGACATTTTAAATTTAAATTAATTTTTGTGGGCATATGTAGGTTAATTTAGAGCATTTTTCTATATATAAATTGATTTTCGGATTCTAGAAGGAAAATAAAGATGAGTTTTATTGGCGAAGTATATGACTAAATTGTAGGGTTTTTGACATATTTAGCATTTTCTAAAAATGGAGAACAATTTTTAAATTTAACTGTACAAAATGTAATAAAAGTTAGTTAAATTGGAATTTACCCGATATAGCCTAATATAACCTAATATAATAAAATAACTATTTTATACAGCCTAATATAAAATATATTAGGCTATATAATTAGGCCCGATATAGCCTAATATAATAAAATAACTATTTTACTTTAAATCAAATTATAACTTGACCCGTAAAGTTATACAGTGTGAGACAAAATTAATATTGAACATTAATCACTTTTAAAAGCCAATTACTCTTTTATTTTAAATAGAACACCCAGTATATTATTGCGATTTTCAATGAGGAAAGAAATCTCAGAAATTTTTCGAAAATGGAAACTTCTTATACGTCAGAGAAATTTGATATGTTTGTGACTGCAGTTAGTTAGTCTGGATTTCTTTTATGAGGATATGTTAAAGACAGTGTTTACAAAACTCGACCAACTTTTATCGAAAACATGAGAGAAATGATTGTTGCTGCATTTCGAAGTAGAACTGCACATTTGCATAATTTTTCTCACATAATTATACATTCTGTAACAATTAAAATGTCTTTTAAACGTGTATCTTTTTATTACCGTTGAGTATTTTACTATTTACCTTTAATTTTTGTTAAATTGAGAAAAGGTACCTACATTTTCTCAAATAATAGAGATATACCGACGCAAAAGAAAATCTTTGTCTGAGGGTTATTTAATAGTGCTTTAAAGATATATGAATTCGCCATTAAAAACAGGGAATAATATACTGGATGTTCCATTTAAAATAACGGAGTAACTTGCTTTCAGAAGTGATCAGTGCTCAATGTTAATTTTGTCTCACCCTGTATAACTTTTTGGGTCAAATTATAATTTGGTTTCACATACAATAGTTACTGTAATCAAATATTAGGCTATACAGTGTAAATTGCAATTGAGGTAGCTGTTATTGAAATTTAAATTTATTATTCAATTTTTACGACTCGCTCGTTCAAATTTTATGGATCCGTTCTGGCCACGATTCAATTGAACGAACTGTATGGTAAGCAGTGAATCAATTCTTATGATTATTTAAGCCGTAGAAACGTTGTGGTACTGCTCAAGGAAAGTCAATGCACTGCCTAAACGTTGGGTTTTGTGCAAATCCGTCAACATTTTCGGAACCCAACGGGAACACAATTTCCGGTAATTCAAGTTCTCGGTCACAATGCGATACAAAACACTACTAGAACATTGAGGAAAGTAGTCGCACAATGATGAAATTGTAAAGCGTCTGTTTTCTTTCACCTTTTCGTCCACTTTCTGCACCAAATCTTCATTAACGACCGAAGAACGCCCACTCCGTTCTTCATCATGCACATTTGTGCGGCCTTCTTTAAATGCTCTCACCCATTTCCTTACCATTCCATCACTCATAATGTTTTGTCCGTAAACTTCACAGATCTCACGATGAATATCGATCGGTTTTACGCCTTTAGCACTAAGAAGTCGTATGACAGCCCGTACTTCACAATCGGCGGGGCTCACGATTGTCGGAGGCATCTTAAACACTCAATAAACAACGTATACAATGAAGAATCAGACTGTACTGGCGTCTGTGCATAGACAAGAGATATAGGTAACCAGCGCGCATGCGCGGAACGCCGACCGTAGCGCTGCGGCGGCGGAATCGCAAAACGGTACTTACTTAAAAAACATGCCTCGTATCTTCAATATTCAATCTTTGCCCGCCCCCTTTTTTGTTGTCGTTCTCTTATTATAACAGAACATTATACGTGAAAAAATACATACTTTTTAAAAGATCTTCTTAAATTTAAGATTTGTTTTTTTAGGTATTGTACGACGGCAAACTGTCAAGCGCCATCGTGTTCATGTACAACCCAGTTGCCACCGACACACAGTTATGTTTGCAATCAGCTCCTAAGGGAAATATATCCTACTTCGTGCACACTCCCCACGCACTCATGTTACAAGTAAGTATTTTTTACCAGAGAATTTCCGCCCTTTTATCCAAATTAAAAACACTCCTGGCCTACCCGAGGATTTTTTCACTAAACATCATCCATCATAATCAATTACGAGAGAATGTATCTTTTAAATAATGAGAGAAACAACATTTATACGTTTTTCGAGATATTTTTTATCAGTCGAAAAATCGAAAAATATTAAATTGCGTAGGGAGCATCCATTAATTAAATGAGACTTTTTTTGACGCACTCTCTTATATCCATAATTTCACGTGAGATCTTTCAAAATCTGTATTTAGAGTATGAATATATTGGATTTATTAAAAAAAACAATTTAATTTATTAGGACTAGCAGAGCCTAGTTTGAAAAGCATTTGACAGCAGTACACCTGCTTTATGTACGAATTTTCTGTTTAAAGCTTGTCCAAATGGAGTTGTACTCCATCATCAGGACGACTTTGGTAATCTACCTGGATCTAGCAAGCTCCAAACAGAAAACTCACGTCAAGTACATTGCATATATAGACAAGTACTGCAATGTGAAACTTCATATTGCTGAATTTGCAGAAGAATTTCTATTTTTGCTGATGCAAAACTGAATTTTTGCATCGGATGATAATGGGTGATGATAAAATAAAAACATTCGACGTCCTAATGGTCTCACTCTTATTAAGGCTTGTACAGCTGCTTTTAGAAGAGGATGAAAACAAAAACGTCAGTCGAAACTCAATTTGTACCTTTGAATAAGAAGACTAAGGAAGGAGCATAATGCTATCCATGTATTCATGCATGGTGGGCGGAAAAAGGACTCTAGGGTGGGGATCCGTGACAGTTCTGTTTGACGATTCATTTGACACATTTGAATTTGTTATTTATTATTTATTCTACTACTGATAGTTGTATAAAGGTAGTAAATCTAGATGGAAATTGTGGCAGAACTTAAATTAACAGTGACACTATCGCGATTTGTCGAAAAAGACTCTAAAATAGTTGGTTGTATAGCGTGCGGTAGATCTCAGCAAAAATCGAGTGAAATAATGGAACAACTTTTCGCTAGTAAGTGACTATATAATATACATACGTGTAGTAAATCGATCATTTATGAAATTCACTTAAATTAACTAATTATATATTAATTTTTTCTTGCATTTTTGCTTTTATTTACTACTTGTCAAAGATTAGATGTCAAAGAATTTAGATACGTCAATTTGACTTACCTGCTCCAGTAGCGTATCGGATGTTTATGGTTATAAATAATTATTATAACATATCTATTTTTATTAGAATTTTATATTTTTATAACAATTTTAATAACTACCAACATTTATTCACAACGTAAAATAAACTAACAAATTATTGAGTCTACCCCACGTCTACCCTACATCATAGTTTTACATTTTTCATAATAAAATTAGAACGGCGCTGATAAACCGGAATATAAGTCGGCCATATTTGAGGCCCATCGCGGTGTACCTAAGATTTTTGATATGCTCCTTCCTTAGTCTTCTTATTCAAAGATTTGTACAAATTTAGGACATCTGAGTTGCGCTTTGAATAAGAAGACTAAGGAAGGAGCATATCAAAAATCTTAGGTACACCGCGATGGGCCTCAAATATGGCCGACTTAAATTCCGGTTTATCAGTGTCGTTCTAATTTTATTTAAAAAATGTAAAACTATGATGTAGGGTAGACGTGGGGTAGACTCAATAATTTGTTGTTTTATTTTAAGTTGTGAATAAATGTTGGTAGTTATTAAAATTGTTATAAAAATATATAATTCTAATAAAAATAAATAAGTTATAATAAGTATTTATTAACACAAACATCCGATACGCTACTGAAGCAGGTAAGTCAAATTAACGTATCTAAATTCTTTGACATCTAATCTTTGACAAGTAATAAATAAAAGCTAAAATGCAAGAAAAATATATAATTTAGTTAATTTAAGTGAATTTCATAAATGATCGGTTTACTACACGTATGTATATTATATAGTCACTTACTAGCGAAAAGTTGTTCCATTATTTCACTCAATTTTTGCCGAGATCTACCGCACGCTACACAACCAACTATTTTAGAGTCTTTTTCGATAAATCGCGATAGTGTCACTGTTAATTTAAGTTCTGCCACAATTTTCATCTAGATTTACTACCTTTATACAACTATCAGTAGTAGAATAAATAATAAATAACATAAAATAAGCTCCGTAAAGGCTGACAAATCCACAAAATTTCAAATCAAATTCAAATGTGTCAAATGAATCGTCAAACAGAACGGTCAAGGATCCCCACCCTAGAGAGCTTTTATGGTGGCTTTTCCGCCCACCATGCTTGAATACATGGATAGTATTATGCTCCTTCCTTAGTCTTCTTATTCAAAGGAGTTGCGCGACAGGAAAAAAAAATGCCAGTTGTCCAAATTTAATCTGCCACTCTCTTTTTATTATCTTTCTCTGTGCCGTAAACCTAATAAAAAAAATAAACCTAATTAAAAATAAATTTTCTATATAGGGTGCTACAAATTTGAGGTACGAGAATCGGAATCTCGGTAACCGTAATAGATACCAACATGGTTAAATTGGGCCAAAGTTGCGTTTTGGGATGTTTACCAAGATGCCATCAAAAAAAGTTTTAAATATTCAGAGACTGCTGAGTTTTTTCGAAAAAAAAAAACAGAAACTCAGTAAAAAAGTCTAGAATAACACTGGCTTAGATATTGCAATGCGTTGAATAAAATATTCAGACAAAAAATCTATACACGAGAAAAAAGGACGAGTTACAAAATTATATTGCTTTGAGAATTCAATCTGATTTAACATCAAAGCTCTTTCCTGAAATGGAGCATTAAAGGACGAAAAAAGAACGAATAAAAATTAAAGTTCAAAAGAATCTGTAATGATAATTGGGCCCTTTAGATAAGAAATATTATTGTCGAAGATCTAATTAACATATTTTTAGGAAATTGAAAGGTAAATGCACCATTGTATTCGGAATCGCAAAGATTTTCAAAAGCCAAGAAGATAAATGTTTTAATTTAATTACTTTATGCAAAATATCAAAGTGATTTCGAATTTTAGAAGTTCAGTCCGAAAAATGCCTCTAGGGAATTTAAAAAAGCCGAACACTAAAAATCTTCTTTAGTATTTTTAATTATAACTTTAAAATTAAATGAGCTTACTGTTTTAATTTAATTAAAGCACAGAAAAAAACTGAATACGTAGGTTTTTCTGACTTTAAAATAATTATTTCTATGTGTAGATATAAAAACTATAATTCAAGATAATATAATTATATTCATTTAAAAATATTTAAATTTAATCTTTGTCGAAAGACCCTCTGGAGAAAGAATATTTACTCTTAAAAACAGAGTAGCAGGTTACGTTTTTAAATAAGTGAGTAATAAGTTTATAAAATAAGTTATTTGTACTAAACATTATTTATGATTGAATTCAGTGTGTTGTTATAGCAATCATAGGAAAAAAATATATTACACAGAATATTTTTGTTCAATTATAGTTCTGTTCTTAGAAGAATCCCTGACTAGTCAGCACGTTTTTTATTGGTTAAAATGCGTAGAAACCTGATTGTTAGTCTGGTTTCTACACATTTCAACCAATAAGAAACGCGCTGACTAGTCAGGGATTCTTCTGAGAACAGACCTTATAATATGAAGTACATGATGTCCCATTTCGGTTGAAATCATACGGTATCTCTCTTAGAACTTTTTTTTTTGTTGTAGAACTTTTTACGTAGAATACGTAATATACATAATACATAATATACATAATACAATACTATATATACTAATACGCGTATTAGTATATACACTATCGGACAAAAGTAGAGCAACAAAGTTCATTTTTATTCACTCCATAAGGAGATGGAACCCGAAGAAGAAGATACTTCAAAATTTGCGAGTATTGTCATTTTGGTCTTGGATTATCACCCGTCGAGAGAAATTAAGATTAGAAATTAAAAGATTATTTTCCCTATGGATACAACTGACCAACGCAAGCTGTTGCTAGGATATTTTACTCATTTTAATTGTATATTTTTTAGACATTGTGAATGACCACACTAGTATATTCCACTAATTTCGAAGTTCTGTATGAAGTTTTAGACGACTTCCGTAATATGAAAATAAATTCTTTGTTATTGTATTCCCTTTTTTTAGGATGTGAAAGCTGTGATAACGCACTCCATCCATAGTACTTTAAACTCAATTGGAGGTATACAGGTTCTGTTCCCCTTGTTTTCTCAACTAGACCTACCCTACGAATGCAATGGCTCAACTGACATCAAAAGGGATCCCACGCTTTGGTAAGATTTTTTAAACTTTTATTTGTAAAATATAGGTACCGTATGTTTGAAAAAATGGCGTCAAAGACTGTTGGGGGATGACGATTGAATCGGTGATAATTTTGGCGCAAGTCTGGCGCAGGTTTGGTGAGGTCAATCTCTTGACGTTGTGGAGACCTGACATTGACATGAATTGGGGTTGACACACAATCAACGACTTACATTTATTTTTTTTGTTGTATACGCGGTGCTTCTACTCTGTCTATCTTTGTCGAGGACCTAGCGTCCACGCGCCAAATTTGAACATTAATTTTAAAAATTTAATTTGGAAAATGCTTATATTTGAACCATAAATTGCATGTTTACTGTCACAAAAATTAAATTATATAATAGGAAATAGGGAACCTTAGGAAATCTAACCAAAAAGTATGCAGGTGGTTTAATATAAATAAAAGAACAACTGAATACTTTACTTGTCTATGAAAAGATAATTCGGGGACCTTTATATTACTTCCATACACCAAACACTTTCTAGTCATTTTTACGAGTATTTAGAAAGTCCAACGGAAAAAAATAGAAACATAATTGCGCAAACTTAAAATTAACTTCTCACTGAAGACACTTGCATCCTTGGCTATATAAAAGCGGCCGACAAAAGAGTAATTAATACAATTTTTAAAATAAAAAACGCAAAAAACAAGCGACGTTACAATAAGATTATGACATATGATTATGAAAATATGATGACAATGAAAATTTGGTTTCCATAACAATGTATAATTTGTACTTTCGAAACCGTATAAAATTGTGATTATTTTGGATATACGTGCAATTTATAATGCGCATGCGCAAAGTAAGGTCCTCGAGAAAGACAAACCTATTGAGCGTTTCATAAGTGCAATAAAAAAGGTTTGAAAATGGCATGTCGGGATGTTGGAGACATATTTTTTAATGTTAAACTTATGGCGTTGATTTATCCACGTAAGTATATATGATCTAGGGGTATATTAGTTCACGGGTTAGCACAGATCAAGGATACTATAGAGATAAGGATAGTTCGATTCCTATCTTCCTGCACTGTCAGTTTTTTTACGTCATCTACTGACCGAGTTGAAGTTGGCGCTAAAGATTTTAGACAGTGACAGTTATTTTTGCATTTGACGGACGAGCGCACATTGCGTTGGAAGATAAATTTAGCGGGACTAAAGCGTTTGGTTAGAAATAAGCCAAAAAATGTGTACTGATAAGAATAAATAGTAGACATTCCAATTGATACAAAAATGCATGAATATTCTTTATATGTCGATACATTTTTATCAACCAAATTTGGTCGTTTTCTGCTCAGCAAGGCAGAGATCATACGAAAACAAAATATTTACAAGTGCTTATACATTTTATTAGAAAGCTAAATTATGTTGAAGATTGCCAAAGGTATGTACTTTTCTACTGTACGTATATTATTTGTTAAAATCCTTCGTGCCTTTGTCCTGCAGATATCAAACTTTCACTTTTTATTCAAATATCGATATATTGAATGATGTAGGTCTTTTGAGTTACCAATAGTTACCAACACAGATATTCACAGTCACAGGGAGTTCAAGCTTAACAGGTGAATGCCCAAAAAGATTCATTTCAATCGGATAGTATAAAAACAAAACAACTCCATCAAAAGGCACTGAGTTTAAAAATTGTCTTAGATACTTACTATATATGAATTTACAATTACCGAGTGTTAAAATTAAAATTAAAATATCTATCTTATTTATTATTTTCAAAATAAAATATATTTTTTTAAAATAAATTATAGAGGGTGTCACAAGATTACATATTAATTAAAAAAAACTGCTAAAGAGTTTTTTGATATCATAATTTTATGTATTTGGCAATAGTTTACAATACGGTTTTTGTGTGTCATGTACGAATAATATCATAGTTTTATTATCTTGTATTTATTCATTAATAAATTAAGTTGTTAATAAATAAATAAATTTAACCATATAGTTGCTATATATTAGACCATTTGCTACGTTCTTAGATTTTAAGTCCCAAACATTGCTCTTGAGATTTTGTCCCGCTAGAATAACCATCCGCCGCACAGTGGAGCGCTGGTCAGCGCGTGACGTAGCATTCCACGGCGACTACGACAGCGGCGATTTGACGCGATCCTTTAGAATATATACAGTCCTTGAGCACAGACATCATTTACTAAAAATTGACATAACACTTGTCTATTAATACTAATTATAGAAAGACTGAAAAAAAGGAACACAAAAAATTTATCGAATTTTAAACTACACCGTTTAAAATTAATTTTTACTCAATATAAAAATAAATTACAGTACGTCTGCTGGATCTGTGTCTATGAAAGGAATGCGGACAAAAAACATTTAAATAAACAGCAATATATTTTATACGTCGACTTGACAAGTACGCCCACTCATTTTATTGGCTGCTTGCAAATTTGTCTCATTTTTATTGATGGGACGCGTCGTCTATTTTTTACGAAAAACATCGAGAGAATATCGTTTCCCCTCTCACGGATACCCCGTAGCTACAGAACTGACAGACGTACTGTACAACCAAAATCTTAACAGCAACAGTAAGTGCCATTAAGGAATAAAAAAGAGTAGGAGCCAAGTAAATTGCCAAAATTATCATCGATTGCCATTCCTCAGCCGTCTCAGACGGCGATTTTTTTCGATCGCATGGTACTTCATAAAATACTGAATTCTATATTTTTATAAATACTTCTATTTTTGTGTTTCGTAACAGGCTACCGAAGTGTAAATAATAAATAAGCGAACTTCTGAAATAAAGGAGAGCAAAAAACTCATTTTTTGCCGTATAACTTTTATTTCCGGTGGACTTTTACGAGCTCTAGCTCTTCGTTTAAAAATATCACCGGTCGGTGCAGAATTTTATAGCTGGCGAAGTGAGCGTGACATGGAGTTAAGCGTCGTGGAAGTTGTGAATTATTTGTTTAAGGGATATAGAGAAGGGCAAATTAGTTCGAGCGACATCTATAAAACCCGGTTTTAAACTTGTGCCTGTCTAATTTTTTTTTATCTGCATCTACAATTAAAAGTTTTATATATAAAACCAGAACACAATATATTGTGTCCGGTCACATGGTACCCCCGGTATTTTTTTCTTTATATGATAGAAATCTTTATATGATACAAAATGACATTTTGAATAGAATGGCCTACCATGATATGTCAACTTTTCACATTTTCCGTTCAAAAAAAATAGAATTTTTAATTTTAAAGTACAGTGTGTAATCTCAAATATCTTTTTCTAAAACTCCGTTTAATCACGGAGTTTTAGAAAAAGATATTTGATCGAGTATTCCCACCAAGCGAGAAACCTCACATTACATTTGCAACATTGCAGACAATCCCCAAACAGCTTGCTTTGTAATGTTGATTTGTAAACGTTTTGCCGTGATTGATGAAACTTTGCTACAGAAATATTGTTTTTGAAAGACGATAAAAACGTTTTTTCTGCAACATTGCAACAAAGATTCAAATGAAAGTTCCGCGCAAGTTCATGTTCATACCGTATGGTCGAAAAAATACGGCGTCCAGCTGTAATTACCCATATAATTTTACATATAAAATGACAGCGATCTTCAATTCATAGCCATCGCTGACGCCGTTTTTTTTTTATCATAAAGTCATAAATAAAGTTAGGTTAGGTTAACGTTAAACTTGTTTTTGACGTGTTTTGTATTACGTTCTATGCTTTTTGAATGAGATTTTGATGAATATAAATGCAAGTAAACAAACCAAGAGTAATGATATATAAAACAACCCCAGAGTAAGTAAGTAAACAAAGCAAAACCAAAGCAAGAGAAATGATATATAAAACAACCCCAGAGTTTCCAACTGGCACAGGAGTACGATAAGGAGACGTGATATCCCCAAAGCTATTTACAGCAACACTAGAAGAAATCTTCTGTCAACTAGACTGGACCAACAAAGGATTAAAGATAGATGGAGATCTAATCTTCAATGGAATGGATGAGGATCTTAATCTTCAATGGAACAAAATATGCTGGGAATAACCTTGGAATAACCAAGAAAGACCATAAAAGAAAAGAGTGAATACGACAAAAGACCCAGGTAATAGATGTCATCCACAGAATCATATCCCTCAAATGGCAATGAGCAGGATACCTGGCAATAAGGACGAACAACAGATTATGGACCACAAAAATTACCGCATGGTACCCACAAGGAATTAAGAGACCTAGAAGTAGACTGAACCTGAGATGGGACCATAATATTAGGAAATTAGCAAGGATAAATTGGGTCTACATAGCCAACAATAGACAAAGAACGATGATGAGACAATAAGTGTAAGTATAATTTTATTATTATGTGAGTATTAATAACCCTTAGCTATCAATAAGTATAACAAATTGTGTTGTTTGTTTTTTTTTGAAAATTTTATATTTTAGTTTAGCTTTTAACCAACTGAAAACTGAAGTAGATAAAACATGGATAAAATCAGGGCAAACCTATATATTCTTAATATAATGATAATATCACGAACAATATTCATTATTGTCAATGTTGTATTGGTTAATCATTTGAGATTTTTAAAATAAGGACTTAAAATAAGGAACATCACAAGAGGTAAGTTTCTCATGCTTATATACCGTATGATCGAATAAAAACGGCGTCAACGATGGCTATGAAATGAAGATCGCTGTCATTTTATATGTAAAATTATACAGGGAATGGCATGGATCGTCATTTCCAAGCCAACTGGACGCCGTTTTTTTTCGATCATACGGTATTTATTACAACTGATTGTTTTTTATTTTTACTACTTTAGAAACAATTGGATATAGATTGGAAAACTTTACCGAAGAGGAATTTGAAACGATGAATAAGACAATTTAACATGCGAAGACAAAATATGAAAGATCCAAAAAATCAATTAAAATATAAGTTTGCTTTTCCTTGTACATATATTTAATGTTATACTTTCCTTTTGTATTTTTGAATAAGAAATATATAATAATGTTTATACTGTACCTATATATATTTTGTATTATTTCAGACCTTCAACTTTTAAATCTTTTTTAGAAATTCGATTCAAGAGGTCAGAGTTGAGTAATTCCTTATATAATGAGCAGCCGAAAAGATCAGTAAGTTCTCAGTACTCAGTACTTAACAGTATTTTTGAAACAAGTAAGTGATAAATTTCTAGTTTTTATTTGTTTTTTTTTTCAATTTGTTTGACAAATTCGACTTTCTTGGTAGGGATATATTTACCGAGCATTTTTAATTTTTCTAAGTCAGTGGATATAGAGATATGCATATTTTTATCAATATTGTTTATGTTTTTCGTTAATACAATATTAGTAAAAGTAGGTATATTATACCTATCTGAAAGTCTACAATTTAATACCCATTAATGTTTCTGTTGATTATAACCTATTACTGATGTATTATTGTTAACATAAAATTGCTAATGTTGCTAATGAAATGGTTTTTTATTGCAAACATCTATTTTTTGCTATATTATTTTAACAATAAGTCAGTTAATAAGTTATAACAAAATAGAAAGTTTAATGGATAATAAGATGTAAAATTAATAATATTACTAATACATTTCAAATTAGTACTTTCCTGAACGTTACATTAGCAACATTTCAATAATATAGTGTTTTTCAACCTTGCACTGCAATGTAATTTGGCGGAAGATTAAGCTACCCTGCCACCTTGCCTAAACCTCCCTACAATAAAAGAAGCAATGTTAGGGTACGAACATAGTGGAGGCAGGTTTCTGCTTTCCGGCAACCAGCGCCGTCTCTGGGGACCTATTCTTGACCACTCGCATCTTCAAATATCGCTCGCATCTCGCATCTCCTAAAAAGCCATATAACAATACACAGATGCGTAACTTTGCGTATATGCCTCACGTGTATTGTATATGGCTATTTCGGAGATGCGAGAAGGATTCGGAAGTAGATAATTAAGAGGAAATTTACCTGATTAACTAACCTAACCTAACCAAACCATATTCAAACGCCGCGCCCGTCTCGCCGGGGCCGCACATAGGTGTATTTGGTCTATAAACCTGGCCAAAAGTGATATTTTTTTATTTTCATTTTTTATCTTAACTGAACACAAATCTATAAATACTAAATGTAAGCACGTTTATTAGTTATTAGCTTTTTTAAGTCGTAAGTTGACTATCAAATAAATAATATATTTCAGTTAAAAGTATGAATTATCTTGAGTGTATTCTGAATATTTCTAAGATTATAAAAATACTGGAATTGTTTGTAGTGCTTTTTTTTGCAAATTGTTCATAATAACTGTCATGATGGATACAGAGCCAGCTTTGTTTGTTGGCTCTATTCTGTTTTATGCCATATTTTTATTTTGAAACGTTTCCTTCTATTCTATTTTTTTATAATGTTTTATATTTAAAAAATGAGTGGCATTTTTATAAGGTGTAAGACTATTCGGCAATATTCCGCATGGAAATTAGTATCCATTCAATGCTGAAAGTCTCCAGCATTGGAATATGCACAAAAATCTTGCCAATATTTGCCACTGCCAAAAAAAAACATTAATTTAAATAGATTCTTAAAGGAAATAGTCTTTACCCTATTAACACCCATCCTCGCTCAAATATCGTCTATAATATACAATTACTTTCTTGTTCTAGCATCCTCATCCAATTGCTTGGTTTTGCACAGAATGGCCCTATTTGATCGGTGGAAAGGGTTTCAGAGTAGAGGAAAAAATATTGTGTAGGAAAAACAAAATGGGGTTCCATATTAGCAACCTCTCCTCTAATTAATAATTAATATTACTAGCAAAAAAGCAAAAAAATCATAAAACATAATTTTGGCCAACTTTTAGTTCTTAATACCCCCTGTGCGCCGTCGGCGCGTGCAAAAGCAGAAATAAATAAATTTTCGTTCCGGTGAAAGCGAGAACGCCGATGAACGCTGGTTGACGGTGCTTGCCTGCTTTCACTGTGAACTAGCCGATTTGATAACACGCTTTAATTTTTCAAGGTTATAAGCGCGAGGCGGCGCGGCGCGGCGCTACTATGTTACCATATACAGGGTGTCCCAGAAATAAGTGCAAGTATTTTAACTTAACTGGTAGTATAGTTCAACCCCAGAAACACGCCTATGAGGTTTTTTTCTAAATAATTTTTTTTTTGAAAATTCGGAATTTTTTGAAAATATTTTTGGAATTTTTTTGCAATTTTTTTTAGTTTTTATTTAAAAAAAATAGTTTCTTCATAATATGGAAACATAGGTAGTAGATTAAATTTACAAGAAAGAAAATCCAGAAAAGATCCAGTGGTTCTCAAACAAATCTCGAAGTATTGGAAAGAATGTGTAAGGACTAACAACTATTGACTACAATAAAACAACGGAAAGCAGCGTATTTTGGTCATATTTTTCGAAATAACAAATATAGTTTCCTACAGCTGATCGTTGAAGGAAAGATTGAAGGACGACGAGGCATCGGGCGTAAACGGTTTTCCTGGTTGCGGAATTTGCGCCTGTGGTTTAATATAGGAGAGGCCAGTGCAATTATCCGTTTGGCTCAAGACAGGGAAGAATTCCAATTGATGGTCGCCAACCTCCGATGAGGAAAAGGCACATGAAGAAGAGGGTTCTCAAAATTTTAGCAAAAAATATTTTTTTTTTTGATTTTTAAAGTAAAATAACTCCATTATTTTGAACTTATTTGAAAAACGATAAAGAGAAAATATGTTTCTTCTATCGAGATCTACCACCCTTTAAAATACTTGCACTTATTTCTGGGATATCCTGTTTATAACAATACACGTGATGCGTATACGCAAAGTTGCGAACGATGTCAAGAATAGGTGCCCAGATTGGCGCTGACTACCAGTAAGCGGCAAACCTGCTTGCACTGTGTTCGCACACTTACACCTTGCTTTGCGAAGTTTTGGCAAAGTTCCAGCAATAAATTTTGCTTGTTGGGTTGTTTTTCGTATCTTTTCCTAGTTGGTAAAAAGATGCTTAAATCCTATTATATTAAATCATGACTGTTTTTTTTTCAAATGAAACGCTCATTAGCATGTTTGGCAAAAAACACATATTTAGTATTTCGAGTGTGTCTTTACATTTCCGGCTTTACATTTTTTAAAATGCCAAAAGTTGACAGTGATTGATATGTTATTCTATTCAGAATGTCCTTTTTATCACATAAAGCAAAAAAATACCGCGGGTACCATATAAAAATCAAAAGTTAAAAATACTAAATCTCATTTTTTAATCTGAAAAAAATAGAAAAAGGTAAAGGTGAGGATCCGGTGGCTGACCTTGAAGCCCATATTTGCTGCATTTGATCATCGATACTACGCAAGCGCACATCGTCGATGTTGCCAAATTGCAGTTTAATAGTTTTGATTATAGGTTCATTCCAACCAGCAGTAATTTCCAGTAATATTACCGTCAGGCATGCGCATTCGTACAATGTCGTTCCAACCGGCCAAAATTACAAATTCAGAACTTGTGATTATCGTCAGTTCGTCGTTCCAACCGGAATTATCGATGGTAAAATTACGGTTCAAACGATTCTGCCTTGAGAGCAAGAACTGTTGGTTCTAAAATTAGAGGCATGCGCAGTAAGGTCGAAATAGCGGTCAGCTGGGTAGTATAGTATAAACTAGGTTAGGGAGTTGTTTTTGTTTATCTTTTTTGTTTGGAAAAATTTAAGAACGACTTTCTCTATTTATTTAAAGTATTTAAAAATTACAAATATGAATATGGAAGGTAATTTACTAATTATATATATTTTTGTTAAATAAATACCATTTTTATCTTATATGAGCAGGCATGGAAGAATTCGTTATTGTGGTAGAAAATGAAAATAATCCGCCTTCTACTACTACTTCTGCTGCTGCATCTGCTGTAGAGCTTTTTTTTTGGACCAACAACAATACAAGGCTCTTAATCGACTTGTACAAAAAATATAAAAGCAAAGTGGGAACAATGGGGATGAAGAATTTTAAAACTATGTGGGAGAAAATAGCAAATGAGATTTCAGAAATATTGCAGAAAACAGTAACATCCAAAAATGTTGAAAACAGGTGGAAAGTACTTGACCGCAATTTCAAAAAATATGTTGACAATAAAAATTCAACAGGACGTGGTAGAAAGTTCTTTGAGTTTGCGTCGGAAATGGAAGAAGCTTGTGGTAACAAAAAGAATATAAGGCCAGAAATTTTACTAGCAAATGAAATTCACATGCCAAAGCAAGAAAATGTTGAGCAAGGCCAAGGCCAAGAAACTGCTGAAACACCAAAAAAAGTGATAAGAAGGAAGACCAGGAAAACAGTACTACAGCAGATCCGAGAGGACCGGCTTTCTTACCAAGAAAACAGAAATCGGTTTCTTCAACAGGTTCATCAAGACCAATTAAGTTTGCTTCGTGAACGAAATGAAATTGAGAGAGAGAGAAATGAAATTGAAAAAGAGAGAAACAATATTCTTTTAACAAAAAAGTGCAATTGTCATATATATGAAACCCTATAGGGAGTATTGATTTATTTATTTGTTTTTCTTTAATTACATAAGTTAAGAGTTCCTATTTGTTAATTTATGGTAGTTATTTATTTTGTTGTTTTTTAATTTGATATTAATGAATCTCTATTTGTTTATTTTTTTTTAAATAAAAATTTGCATGTTTCATTTGATATTGAAGTTTGTGATAGACTTTGACAAAATAATTAAAAAAAATTTATTTTGAAAAATATTATAAACAGTACTTTTAATGTAAATTATTTACAACAAAATTTCTAGCTCTTTGTGCATCTCGATCACCATCCAAATCCATTTCATCATCAGGATCATCTATAACATGGGGCATATCTACAGGTAGCACTTCAATTTCTTCCAGAAACTCATCTGCCAAAGCAATATTGTGCAAAACACAAGCTGCCCTTATGAGATGTACTATGTACTCCATTTTCCGCAATTTTATATGGTACATTTGTCTAAATTTCTGTTTTAGTACTCCAAAACAGTGCTCAATTACATAGCGATTTCTTGCTAATCTCACATTATAACGAGTTTGTTCCTCTGTCAATTGTCCTCGGTCCTTGAAAGGTGTCAAAAGATTAGCACAAAGTGGGTAACCACTATCTCCAAGGAGAAAATATTGTCCACATTTTTCTGCAAGTGTTTGGCTCAGAGAAGAGTTTCGATATACCCTACTATCGTGGACTGAACCAGGATATCCAATAAATACATCCCTAATTTTAAGTGTATGATCACAAACAACTTGCATCTGTAAGATGATTCAAATGAGTACCTACTAATACTTATAATAATAATAGTTATCTAAGCTAAACTTACTTGAACAGAATAATAACCCTTTCTGTTAATGTATGAATCCGGGTCATTCTCCGGCTTATCAATTTTCAGGTGAGATCCATCAATGGCACCAATAATATTGGGAAACCCATTGGCTTGGAAATGTTCAGCAATTTCTAGTTTTTCAGCTGCATTAGGCCAAACTATGACTTGAGGGGCCAAATTGCTAAGGAACACGGACACTCTTTGTATAATCCTTTCTAGGGATGACTTTGTTATGTTAAATCTATCGGACACATCTGCAAAACTCGCAGCTTCATGCCCAATAAACCACAAAAATATTAATATCTGAAAATTTAGTATATTTATCAATAAAATTGTACAATAAAACCTTAAATAATTCATTTACTTACATGATTGTGAGCAGAAATTTTTCCAAATTGACCACTATCATTCTTATAATACTCACTCCCTTCAAATGAGTCTCTAAGTTCAGTTGCCACATGTCTGGATACTCGGAAGTTAGAAAAAAATTCTTCTTCCGAATAATTTAAAACTGTTTCTTCTAAATTAAACATTAATTTTATTAAAATATATTTTTATATAAACTCAACAAACCTAGGAAATTCTCATTTCTTGTGGCAATATCCCCAAGAAAATCCAAATCTTCATCTTCTGAAGAAGAAACATTAAACAAATAATTTACTGCCATTATGGACGCCGGCACAAAAACTAAAGGACAAAAAAGAAAAGAACAAGACGCTCGGGTTGCTCGGGAACCTCGGGAACTTGGGATGAATATTTTTTAGGTTATTGTTATTGTGTTGCCAGCCCAGCTGTTTACTTTCCATCCCAGTATTCCCAGTTCTAAAAACGTTCCAACCAGTTTATAAGTTCATCCTAGTAACTTAACCGGTTTCGCTCGCGCAGGCGCATTAACGCAATTACTAACGATAATATTACCGTAATATTATTGCAGGTTGGAACGAACCTTATATGTATTGATGTTTTGAAATTCTACCATGACGAGTCTTATAGAACAATACACGCCAATGGGAGATAAAGGTAACATATTTTACCTATAATGTTACTAATATAATATACTTTGATTGTAACGTTTGTATCATGATTTCTTTAAAATATCAAGTTAGTGGATCAATAGCAATTTTAGACATATATTTTATCGAAGAGTGTGTTGATAAGACTAAAATAAGCTTTATGTTTTATCTTTTTCTTTTTTCTCTTTAGAAGGGAGATGGTTTGTGTCGTAGAATACATTACAGTATTTAATATCGTGTACTTTGATATTCTTTTCTTAATTTACTGTAATTTCTTGTTTCCTATAATGCCAAATCTTGACAATATGGTGAAGGTTGAATTTTGATCTTATTATACCTGTGTTTATACAAGACCAAATTAAAACTTCGTTTGTGATTTATATTAAGATCTTTCTTATAATATTTGTTATGTCTTAATCTTAATACTATATTATGCTTTGTCTGGAAAATAAATGTTAAAATATTTTAATTTTGCATATCCTATTTCATTTTTCTATTAGGAAAAATATGGTTTATAAATCATATTATGCTAAGAAAATCGCATAAATTAGGTGTAAGAATAGAGAATTCTTAAGGTAGCAGAAAAATTAATGCAATATATGTATAAGCAGAATTAAACAAGGTAACTGTTAATGTTGCTGGAGCTGATTCTACAATTTTAATTACGGAGGCTAAAATAAAGGCCTTTTAAGGCCTCCGTAGTTTTGATGGAATGTTAAAAAAAAACTATTATGAACATGACATGGAGCTACAGCATTTAAAAATAAAAAAAAAGAAAAAACTTGGACATATTCCGAATTTTTAATAAAGCCGTTTTTAAACATAGCATAATAATCTAGAGCAATTAGATTAATTATAGGAATGAGTTTTATTTCTATTTAATTTTATTGACTATGAAAATACATAATAAGCGTTCACGTGTTGTGCGAAATATTAAAATAATAATATAAATCCTTGATATAAATAATATACCGCCTACTATGATTGAAAAAAAATAGTGTCAGCAATAGGCATCATGACTATGAAATGAAGATCGCTGTCATTTTATATGGGAAATGTCCTCAATCGTCATTTACCAGCCAACTGGACGCCGTTTTTTCGATCATACGGTATATATTGACAAAAAACACTGAAAAGCACATATTTGTTTTCTACTGAAAATAATTCCAAAATAATTTACAATCTAGCAACATCGAAGATGTGTGCATGCATAGTGTCTGTGACTATATGCAGCAAAAACTCGTTTCAAGGTCAGCCACCGGATCCACACCATTACCTAGAAAAAATTAGAGAGGTGGCCTTTGAAAGACATCCAGTATATTTCTTTTTGGTTTGGCTTTTTTAATATTGTCTGGTGTAAGGGCCACAACACAAAATAGTCAAAAGCCTGGGTTGTCTTCAAGGAATCTCATTGGAAACAACCGACAGCGCAAATTTAAAGAAATTGTTTTATGTTAAACAAAAATAAAAACTTTAGGGCAAGGTTTTTTGGAGGGACTAGAGGAAGCAGCAGAAGCCAACATCAGCGACATCGGGAACTTTGCAAAGAGCTGGAAGTGCTTTAACGCAAAGAAAGAATGAGAGGAAGGTTTGGTAAAACAATACAGGGGTATCGCAATGGGCCCAAGGCCTCCGAGTGAGGGATCAGATATAATCCCAAACCCCAGCAACCTAACCTACATCATTTCGTAAACTACTGCACATTGTTTCTCGTAATTGTCATTTGATGTGAAATTATAATTTTATTGACGATATCGATCAATGTCATTTTTGACATTTTTAAGTTTCATTCGTCTATTAAAGTTAAAAAGTGGTCATCAAACAAAGAACACTTAAGATGGCGCTGCTGTAGCAATAGTTCTAAATTTGAAAGAGGCGCCTAAAATTTTTACAACGGGAAATAATTAAAGAGATAGATAAATATATGTATGTGCGATATGTGAAGGTGTGTGTTACCTCTCTTTTTAACTAACTTCACTTTATTTATAACGGCTAAGTTTAGTTCGACCCCTTGTTAGCGCCACTGGGGTCATTTAGTGCATCTTTATTTTTTCCAATTTTGGTATTTACTTTTTCAAATAAAGTCCCATAACAGATGTTTCTCCTTACTTCTACCCTTTATAGTTTCTGCGCCTTATTTCTGGTAATTGTCATTCGATTTGAGGTTATAATTTTATTGACCATAGATAAAGGAAATAAATTTAGATTGGAATGCTCGGCCTTCCGCCAAAACGTATAATTATTTTGGATCGCGAACATTGTACGCGATCTCACGCTGCTATAGCGGTTGGTTAGGAACAACCGCAAACAAGAACAGAAAAAAAATTCTCTTGTCATAGTCAGAATCTTTAAAAAATCTAACATCCATAGATAAATGAAACAAGTTTAGATTGGAAAGTGCTCATATGGACAATGTAAATACTATCTGGTGTTGTTTTTGCAACGGTCGCGACCCAAAGCCTTTAATAATTTCGGAGCAGTTCGGCTTTTTCCGGAATTATGTCGCAAAATGTTATAATTTATTTAAATTTTTTTATTTTCTTTAATTTTTTTTACATTTTAATTTTTAAGATACAACTTTTAATCGGCATTAAATGGCCTACGAAATTTAGCTAACAAGAGGGGAACAAATCAGTGGTGCACATAATTATAATAAATCGAAAAAAATGAAGACTTTAACCCCCTGTACTTACGAAACAAACCAGAATCGAACTTATGTTGATATGAAAAATAAATCTTATTTTTACATGGGGAATCTCTCTCCACGAAACATGGCACATATTTTTTGAAACACTTTGTAAATACAAAATATTTACACAAGTTTTATAAATTAAATGAGAATTTCACTCAAACTCCCATTTTTGCTTTATTTCTGCTACATGAATGACATTTAGGGTTGCCAACTCTGGAAGATGGATACCCGCTAGAATCCGCTAGGGATGATATTGATCCTGAAATTGTGCTTTTTCGCCTATTTTTGAACCTTTTATTAGGGCTTTCATCACCTGATGAGACGAATTTAAAGTGAATTCGAATATTATAGGGCTAGGTACTATAAGAATATATGATTATTACATGATTATTGAGGCAAATTTTGGAAAGCAAATTTCTAATAAACGCTAGCCACTAAATAATATTTTTTCCCGCTAAACTGAAAAATATACCGCTAGATTTAGCACAGAAACCGCTAAATCTAGCGGGGAAACCGCTAAGTTGGCAACAGTGATGACATTGATTTACAAACAAAACCAGAAAAACCAACCTTCTTGTGCTCGTTAGTTTGGTGACAATTATTATGATGGATATTTTTCAGGAACTGTGTTCGTAATAATAAAATTTTCAGGAAACTGATAGAAACGAAACATAAAACCATAACCAAGGTTAGAAACGGGATACAGCCTAATCTGATTCATCTGGTTGTCAAGTGAAAGAGACAGTTTGACAATATATGACGTGACGCTGAACAAACAATAACAATGAATTATTAGCAATCCTGATGGAATTAGTAATCAGACAATCAAATCGTGCAATAGATATAATAAATACAATACAGAAATATGTTTGTGTTATGCCATTGTTAATTGAAGTCGCATAGAAACTATTCGTATAATATTTGTTATTTCGAACGGTCTACGAAACATTCTGCAACTCTATACAAATTGTGCAAATAATGCGGATGAACTTGTCGCACATAAAACAATTGCAACGAGTTTTCCAGATTGACTCGCAAAACGAGCTGCCAGACCGTTACATGCGCTTTGGTCCTTTCGAGCTGCGAATTTATATATCGTGCATGTTAACGACATTCGCTAAACTACCGCACATAATGCATGCAACTCTATTTGCCGCGGTTCGTTACTGCGATAACTTTTTATCTTTTTATCTCTCACACTACATTTTCTCTCTACATTATGTTTTTGTATTTATATTAATAGATTTATTTATTCATTGAGGAATACAACTTTTAAAAATGTCTTATGCCTATGTGGCGGATTCATGTCTCCAAAAAAATCCTATATGGGTATTTCGCCCCTGCAAGAAAATCTACAAAATAAAATAGTTAATTAAACGGTTTTATTTAGCTCGACCCGTACGGTATTTATTTATTTGTTTGTTTATTTGGGTCAAAATTAGAAATTGAAATTTAAGTACCTTCCTGTTGTCAGATTGATCTGAAATTTGGTACACACCTTTAGTTTCGATGACAATACAATATAGTAATATCAATAACATTGTAAATCTAAGATGGCCGCCGGTATTAAAATGGCGGATTTCATATTTTCCACAACCCCTCAATATGGGTATCAAATGAAAGGGCTACACTAGTAGAATACTGTGATTATGACAAAATTTAAAATCCAAGATGGACGTCGTTACAAAATGGCGTATTAGGTGAGGGCATGAGTAGTCATGTCCAGAAGAGTTGTGTCCAAGATTGTGTGACGTTAGAAGGACAGATAAAAAAAATAGGTGATTAGATGTACCTACGTAGTTAGCGGTAGCTTTACCACCCAAGTTAAGGTAATAGGTTAAAACGTGCTGAGGACTGTATGGCTTTAGGGGGGCTAAAAATGTAATGTCGAAAGCGTTTTACCCTCAAGATTGGGCGCCTCTTGTTGTATATTATAGCCTTGCCCCTCTACTGGACCTCTGGGGGTCGACCGTTAAAATGTCCATTACTCGTGGGAACAACATAGAAACAATAAATAAAAAAACAAACAAAAATAAAAAAGAAACTGCTACACAACGAAAAAGAAGGCTCGAAAAGGCGAAAGAAAAGTATAGAACGAAACGTGCAAAAGAAAGTGAAAATGAAACCTATAGTCGACTACAGAAACGAAGAGAACGGTTAGCAACAGAAACACCTGAGCAACATGAAACTTCCTAACATTCTACTAAAAACTAGAAAATAAAAAATCGGTAAAAAAACTTTTAAGTTAAACGGTTTTATCTTATGTGCACTGAAAACTAGAAAATAATAATAACAATTAGGTATTTTGAACTTCTAGTTCAGAAATATTTTAGTACTAGGCAGAATAGCTTTTAGGCATATTAGACTAAAATAGAAACGTGGGGCCCATTAACTATTGCTGTAATACTTTCTTCTATACTAAGTGTGGATTGCATCGACTTACTATAATCGTAACTGGAGATTTTGACAATCAATAACCAGCCGTGGCGGCTTCACCAGCGAACGCCGAGCTCATCATCTACCAAAGTATAAAGATATGCTTTGCCATAGGTAGGATTTCAGAGGGGCCCCACGTTTTTATTACGTAGATAGAGATAAACTTTCCGAAACGTTAAACACTTTTTTGTTCGTTCGGCAAATTTGTTTATCAGTAAACTTAACTGCTGACAAATAGTTTCCGTTGGAGTAACGCAGCAGTGTTTATAAAAATAATTATTTTATTTTGTAGATTTTCTTGCAGTGGCGAAATACTCATATAGGATTTTTTTGGAGAAATAGAACTTTTATACTTCCATAGTGAATGACAATCGAAGATAATTTTGGCACTGTCAATCTCTAGATATCATTTACTAAAAACTGACTTAAAGCTTTAAAAATTAACACTAATAATTACAGAAAGATTAAAAAGGATAGAACGTTTCCAGACACAGAAATCTATTTAAAAAAAATAATTCTCGAATTTTAAACTAAACCATTTAAAAATCGTTTTTACTCAATATAAATATAAATTACAATCCTCTTAAGGCTAACTGACAGTAAAGACCATTAAAAAATAAAGATGAGTAGAGAAGGAGTACATGACGTCTAGGGTTTGACCTGGTCAAAATTATCATTGATTGTCATTGCCCAGCCATCTTTGACGCCTTTTCTTCGAACGTATGGTATTATTGTTTTGTACTAGAGCGCATGTTCATCCCGCATAGTAGGAATCCTGAATTTTTTAAACTTAATTATTAGGATACTAAAATAATATGTTATATAAATAATTTCGGCACCAAAACAACCTAGAAAATGAAAAAGTTAATTTTTGTAAAAGCACTCTCTAGACTCTAAACGGAAACCAGCTTGTCATTGGCTTTTTACTTGTAAAACAAATTTTTCTAACCGACAAGCAATGCTTCATATTTCAGGAGGTATATCTCATCCTGTTAGCACCACACAGAGAGAATTTTTTTTTTGCTCTAGTTGTGTATCTTGTAAATTGTTTAATTTTAACCAAAAACTATAAAACTAATACATTGATGTCAATTTAATAAAAAATTAGAATGAAATTTAATATATAGGGTGAGGGTAACCTACTTCTCATAACTTTTCTGTTATATTTTTTTTATATATAGCTTTCGAGATAAAAATATATACCAATTTTGTAAATATCATTTTTATTACCTTTAATTTTTTTATTTATTCTAACCCCTGTACTTATCCAAGCATGTTTTAAAATACGAAACCTTCGCAAAAGCTTGAAATTCAAAGCCCCTCTCATAAAAAAATGAATGTTGCCGCGTTAACATTATTTTTTATTTATAGTAAAGGAGCCCAAGATTTTTTTTGTGATTTACTCAAGCACGGATATAAGGGGAGAATCCTTGCACCCTGTTCAGTACCCCCACCATACATAAATATTTTAAACAAGGTCGTGCGTGTAGGGTAGCCTATCATGACCGTAACGCTTTTAGGTAATGTTTTTAATAATTGTGTCTGTTTCTTGACACAAAATGGAAACGGTATGCCACAAATAGGAAACATTTTCGAAACCCATATATTTTATATGGTTTTATTACATGTTTCCAATGTGGTGGCACTAGCCATTTCCTGAAATGTTTCGATGCGGAATCAAAACTTCTAGAGGAAATGTTTAATTAATTATTTTATAAAATTGACATGGATTCGGACACAAATCATCTACATTATATTATACTTGTGTCTAAAAAGAGAGAAAATCGTTTTTATAAAAAATAGAAACCTTGTTCCAAATTGACGAAATCGAAAATTTGATTTAGCGCTATCTGTGTATAAATTTCGAACTAGTTACCTGCCAACAACGCCAATCTAAACTTGCCAAAATAATTAAAACATTTTTATTTACTTATTATAACACAATTAAAACATAAAAACATGTTTTCCATTGTGGAAAAAAGAGAAAATAACGTTTGCTGGTAACATTTATCTTCGGTCTCCTGTTGTTACTGGCTGTTTTTACGTTGATTATTCCTAAAACAAATCATCTCTGTATTTAAAATAAAAATATGCAATATAAATAATAAATTATTATAGAATCGCATAAGAAAAATATCTGTGTTTGTACTCACCATATATGTCCTTCCTTCTGCTTTTTTAATAAGGCTATAATAACTTGAAGAATGCGTAAATGCAGAATCTGCAGAACAAAATCCAAACAATAAAGTAAGGTTATGTTCTCATATTTGACAGAATCTCAAATAAATTATGGAAACTTTTCAGGCACAAATCGGGTACGAAATCTTTGTAAATGTGAGCCACATCTGTTTCTTAAAAGTTTCGAAAAAATTGTGACATTAAGATCTTTATTGTTATAGCTTATGTAGCGTAATCATATATAATAATTATTCTTTATCAATATTAGCAGGGATCTTGTTTCTATTTGGTATCTGTATATAATGCTACTTAGGCCTTTATAGCATCTAATTCTCATAAATAGATCCCACGTCGCTTGAGTAAATCCCCATTTAGCATCTTGGGCTCCCCGACTATTATATTTCTAGCACGTTTTTTTACGTTTTTCCTCTTTTTTTTTGTTCGATAAATTTCGATAGAAACATAAATGGGTAAGTACGGGGAGCAGCGTAAGTTATTTTGATTTAGTTATTTTATTGTTCATTTCTGACATGGCAGCTGCTAGACCACGTCCTGTTCAATCCCGCCCTGTGGATCTACACGCCGGCATCAGTGCAGACCAGACTCTACTCCTATTTAGCGACGGAGTTTCTGTCTGACACGCAGATCTACTCCAACGTGCGCAGAGTGTCCACAGTACTTCAGACTGTGCATACGTTGAAGTACTATTACTGGGTTGTAAATCCGAGATCAAAAAGTGGAATTTTACCAAAGGGATTGGGTGAGTTCAATCAAATTATTTATTAATCATTTTTTATTTATTTTACTGCGTATTAAACTATTTGTGACACATAAGAAACTATTTTTTACGCGAAAAAAAAAATTTTTACGCGTATAAAACTATTTGTTATACGTAAAAAATATTTGTTTCACAAACCTAATATACAGGGTGTCTCAGATTTTAATCGGGAAAATTTAATAGACGATAGAACTTGCAAAAACAAAACAAAAAGTTCATATTAACTTATAAGATTTAAAGCTTCCTTTTCGAGATACAGGGTACCATTAAAATACCAATTATAATATTAATTACCAATTAGAATTTAATTTTTTTCGCCAAAAGGAAGCAAGATAGACAAAAAAGTCAGGAGACAAAAAAATAATATTTTTAATTACTAAATCCAAAAATAATATTAAACTTCTAAAAAAGCAGTGGCATGCCTATTTTTTCCTTTAAAATAATTTAACAGTGATGCCCCACCGCCGCCCCTGGCCATTAAACTTAAATCTAATTACATCAAATTAAGTCCTATAGTAAGTATTATAAATGGGTCAAGTAATATCAAAATCGATTAAATAGTTTTTCAAATATCTTAATTTTTTTTTCTTTTTTAAGTAACTTTAACACCCTGTATCTCGAAAAGGAAGCTTTAAATCTTACAAGTTGATATGAACTTTTTGTTTTATTTTTGCAAGTTCTATCGTCTATTAAATTTTCCCGATTAAAATCTGAGACACCCTGTATAATAAAAAAAAACTATTTTTTAAGCGTAAATATATATACAGGGTGTCCCAGAAATAAGTGCAAAAATTTTAACGGGTAGTATAGTTCAACCCCAGAAACACGCCTATGAGGGTTTTTTTGCGAAAAAAAAAATGTTGAAAATTTAGAATTTTTCTTGACATTTTCCGGGAAATTTGAAAAAACTTTTTAGTGCCACTTGTTTATTCACCTGAGATTTCCCTACGGTGTATCTAAAACTTGCAGTGTTGCAACCTCCTATGTTATCCACATTCTACATAGTTCGGCGGAACATAGTTCTACATTTATAAATTCATAGACAAATTTCTACTCAAAAAATTAGGAATATTAAATTTAATCTTTTATCAGCGCTCATTATTAATAATTATAGAAAAAAAAACACATTAATTATTTTTAGTACTTACCCTTTCAATGAAAACGTAACAAAAACCACCGAACTGTTTTAAAACATTAACTTTATGACGTTTACGAAAATCTTTGTTATGCTGCAAAATAACTTTATTTTGGAATAAATTTAATAAAATGATTCATATTATTCACAATCAGGTCACAAAAAGAAATTCCTAAAATGTTTATCGTAATTTAGAATTCAATTCCAAAAATTTAGAAAACAGCCCAACAAATAATCGATTCATTTTTGTTTTGTTTGTTTTCTTTCATGTTTCTCTGTTTTATTTGAACCACTGTTTTACAAAATACCTTGAAAAGCGCACATTACTTTGAATACCTTTCTGAATGAATAAATATTCAGAATTATTGTCTCTTATCGCCACTTTTCGAACTACTTTCAATCTAAGAAATACATGTTTCACTCAACAATTTTAAATAGGTATTTTGTTTTTTCGCTATTTTTTCGATGTATTTCGACAATTCCATCGACAGCGGACAGCCTAACCGTCAACCAAGAGCGCCGCGTGTGAACTGGTCCTTTGAGTCGCCGGTCACCGCGCCGTCGTGGCGGGCTTGCGTCAGACGACGATGTTAAGCAACGTTGCCGTAGTTACAACAATTTCAAATTCAAGACATTCGAAGCAATCAAATTCATATTAAATTTTAAAAATAAAACTGAGAAACATGAAAGCAAACAAACAAAACAAAAATGAATTGATTATTCGTCGGGCTGTTTTCGATGTATTGAATTCTGAATTACGATAAACATTTTAGAAATTTCTTTTTTGTGACCTTATCAATAACCAATTTATTTGTGTTTTGTTTGTTTCCTTTCATGTTTTTCTGTTTTATTTTTAACATTTTATAAGAATTTGATTGCTTCGAGTGTCTTGAATTTGAATTTGTCTTGGCGCGACAAAGAAGCAGTTACCAGTGATGCGCCGCTCTCTTGGCCGACGGCCGACGCGACGGTTAGGCTGTCCATGGAATTGTTGAAATACATAGAAAAAAAAAGCGAAAAAACAAAATACGTATTTAAAATTGTTGAGTGAAACATGTATTTTCTTAGATTGAAAGTAGTTCGGAAAGTGGCGGTAAGAGACAATAATTTTCAACATTTATTCATTCAGAAAGGTATTCAAAGTAATGTGTGCTTTTCAAGGTGTTTTGTAAATCAGTGGTTCAAATTGTGATGAGGCCTATTAATGAAAATAATGTGTTAAAAACGGGGACTGTTATTTTAGTAGTTATTATAATAGCATGTACAAGTAAAGCAGCACAGTGAAGTGTATTTTAGTTAAGTGTGTATCGAAAAAGAGAACTGTCACAGTTACATACAAGTTTTTTAATTTAACTTTTTTAACACATTTTTTAACACATTATTAAACATTTAACTTTTAATTTATTTTATATAATAATATCACAATCTTAAAAATGTAATGCATCTCTGCAAACTCCTCAGGTGTTGTGATTTTATGACTTACTTTTAACCTATACTTTCTTGTCCCTATGGTAACACAGTGCGTCGAATTAACTGAAATCCGGGCTTGATCCGAGTAATAGGATGTAGTTGGCGATATCTGCTGGCGGTTCTCAAAATGTTGCGATTATTTTTTTAAATTTTCAAAGTTAAATAATTCGGTTATTTTCAATTTATTTTAAAAATGGTAAAGAGAAAATATGTTTATTTTGACCAGATCTACCAACCCTTTGCCAACCCAAATATCTGCACTCATTTCTGGGACACCCTGTATAATGTAATTTTAATTTATTACTTTTTTAACATTCCAAACTACACTTTTTCAAACTGAGAAAGAGACTGAGTTCTTTCAAAATCTGAAATAAAAAATGCAGGTTCGTATTTAAAAAAATTAAGTTGGCCTCAGTATTTCACAAATTATCAGCTAATTTGAAAATCTAAAAATACTATCAGATAGCCCTTATAAAGTGGCTATGAGAATGTGCAATTAGTTTTTTGATTTTCTTAAAAGTAACGACAAGAAAAAATAAAATTAATTTTCAAAAAAATCCGTTTTTTCCAAAAGACTAATCCTTGAAATTTTTAAAACTTTTTTAATGGCATCTTGGTGAACATCCCAAAATGCAACTTTGCCCCAATTTAACTATGTTCGTATCTATTACGGTTACCGAGATACCAGTGCTCGTACCTCGAATTTGTAGCACCCTGTATATAAACATATACAGACGAAAAGGCTTCTTTCTCTTCAAAACAATTAAAAAACACATAGGTGGCGCCCTCCTACAAGTAGGAGTCACGTCAAGTATCACATCGACATCGAATTTTAAAAATACACAGACACCAATTTCTATCCAAATATCAACGGTAGTTCAGAAATTATTTAGAAAAACCAATTTAGTATCTCCGAAACGAAATATTTTAGGACCTAAATTTATACGAACTTTTTTATTTATTTTTATCTGCAATATGTTGCCGAAGTTTCTTGATTACTACTCAAACCTACCCGGTATTGTGTAGATTTCATAATAATCAAGAAAATTCCCCATTTGATTCTTTGTTCAGTGAAATAAATTAAAAATCAATAACTAATATACTCGCTCCGCTGCACTTTGTTTGCAAAGGGCGAAATATGAAATTCTGCACAAGTTGCGTTACTAATAATGCCGGAATTTAATTTACAGACGGTCCCAGACCGGCTCAAAAGGACATCTTGGCAATCCGAGCGTACATTCTACTCTTCCTCAAACAGCTCATTATGATCGGCAACGGCGTGAAGGACGACGAACTCCAAAGCATCCTCAACTATCTCACGACGATGCACGAGGACGAGAATCTGCACGACGTCCTCCAAATGCTTATATCGCTCATGTCCGAGCATCCCTCGTGCATGGTGCCGGCTTTCGATGCCAAACACGGCGTCAGAACGATCTTCAAACTGTTGGCTTCCGAGAGTCAATTGATCCGGCTCCAGGCACTGAAGCTGTTAGGATTTTTTCTTAGTAGGAGTACGCATAAGAGGAAGTACGACGTGATGAGTCCTCACAATCTATATACGCTGCTCGCCGATAGGCTGCTTTTGAATGAAGAATCGTTGTCGTTGCCTACTTACAACGTGTTGTACGAAATTATGACTGAACATATAAGCCAGCAAATTTTATATACGAGGCATCCTGAACCGGAGTCGCATTTTAGGTTGGAAAATCCAAGTAAGTGTTTTGAAAAAGTTATATACAGGGTCCGGCAATAGTTCGTCGGGCTAGCTCCTTTTAATTGAACACCCTATATATTATTTCTTTATTACATGGAGAACTTAAAATAAGATATTTTTTGTAGGTATTTAAAGTATTTCAAAATTTTTAACGTTTTTGCAAATATTCGCGGGTTTATTACATATGGCTCTTCCAATGGTAAAATGCGAGAGAGAAATCATTGGGTGGCTTTTATATAAATTTACTGTGGAATAGAGAATGCAATCCCGCACCAAAATCTCAATCCCGCAAACCCGCGGGATTAAAGCAATCAATCCCGCGGATCCGCAAAATTGCGGGACTGTAAACAATAGTCATACATTTGCTCCTAAATGGTACAAAAGGCATTGTACATTTTGCATAGGCCCACAATATATTGATATAGCGTGTATCTTAAACTAGTTGTACAGAAATTTGGACCGATGTGTACAGAGTGTTCAAAAAATATATTTAATATTAAATAAACTTAAATTTTATTATAATTTATCTACTTATTTTATAAATAAAAATATTATTCTGATGTTGAAGTTTTTTTAACTTGTGTTAGTTATCTACTTTTAGATACACTCTATTACAATAATTTTTTGGCATATGCAGAATGTACAAAGCTTTTTGTACTATTTAGGACAATACGTATGACTAAAAATGCATATTTTTCGAAAAAATATCGTATCCGATCAAATTGTTTTTTGTAATTTCAATACAGATTAGTCGTACTTGGTAAAAATTTTGATTTTTTAAAAATTGTAAATTTGCGGTAAAAAAGATTCTTGGCCAAATTTTCACACTCTTATAATACATCCTGTATACGAGAATTCACTAAATATATTTTCGAAAACCACATAGCATCTTAATCACAATAGATGCATCTAAAACCTGGTCCAAACCGCATCCCAAAATCTTTTTTAGTTTAAGAGATATTCAACTTTAAATTTACCCTAAAATTTTGCTTGTCCTGATAATTATGTTCGGCGGTTTATTTGACGAAATTGTCAACAAGTACTAACCGCTTTCCTTCACTTACGCACATACGCCAGAAAGAGAAAGAAATCTAACAACTAACCTGTTTGTTTCACTTATTTTTAATGGCTAAGCCGTAAGGGGAATCCCCCGGGTTCCGAGTGTCGACGCGTCGCGTCGGCCCGGAACGAAGCGGTTTGATCTTGACTGAGATCGATTCGGTTACCCAGTAGTAATGTGTCGATCCCGCAGATCCCGCACGGTAAATCCCGCAACTTTGATCCCGCGGAATCTCAGAGGGATCTCGCATTTGCGGGATTGCATTCCCTACTGTAGAAAATGCCATATGAAATATAAAACCGCGAATATCTGCCAAACCGTTAAAAATTTTGATATACTCTAAATACAAAAAATCTTCAATTTTTAATTCTCCATCTATTGAGAAAATAATATACAGGGTGTTCAATTTAAAAAACCAAGAAAAATTATTTTATATTTTAGAAAGTTTAGCGTAGAATTTTGAATACCCTGTATGATTTACGATTATGATATTTGGAGGAAAGTACAGACCATCTAAAGTAAATACCTATTATAGTTTTGATTTCAGGGCATTTCTTGTATTTGTAATAATTTTTTTAACAAAGGCTGAAAAATATATATTTTTTATTTATTTATTAATATCTGTGAAACCATCCAAACATTATTACTTATATCTTAGGATTATGTAAAGTGATCTGAAAGGAAGCCAAAAATGCAATAATATACAGGGTGTTCCATTAAAAAAAAATGATCCACTCACTTTTTTGAGTGTGAACACCCGGAATATTCATATATTTTTCCAAACCTTCTGGTTTCTCCAGTAAAGCCCTTTAAAAGATAATAATTCTACTATAATGTTTCGTCTAAAAAAGAAAATCGTTACCATGACAAAGATTCAAACAACATATGTATAAGCATCAATATATCCGCTTTTTTTAACTTATAACCCAAATTTCAACTTTAAAAAATATCAGTTTTTGATTTTATCAATGTTTATTTAAGATCATTGTTTTGTCAATTTTACACATGTTTTTTTTATCTCAAAAACTATTAGAAATAGATATAAGTCAGTATAATAGAAAAATTTTGGGATAAGAAAGTAGTTGCCAAAAATATAATAATATACCGGATGCTCTATTTAAAATAAGAAAGATGCTATCACTTCTAGTATGAACTTAGTATGTTGCCGCTAACATTGTATTGCTGAAAATAGACAGATGGAGCAGGTACCTTTATGCAAAAATCCAAGTTTACAAAAAAATTCTATCACCTTCATAAACATCTAACGTGCCATCGCCGTGAATCACCCTATATAATAATGTGTAACAAAATTCGTCTGTCAAGACTGAAACAGAAAAAGAAAACAATCAAAATTTTCTTTTATTAGGACGCCAAAATGTGGTTGGATCTTTGTTTTTCACATTTATTATTTATTATAACCAATCACAAAATATGTGTAAAAAATTCTTATTGAAAAAATAAAAATGTTCTCGTCTCTTCTATTTTCTTCGCATATTTAAAATTATTGTATATTTAGAGTACTGCAATTATCTCCATTGTGATTCAACAGAAGAGAGAGAATAGAAGCGTGAAATTTAAAAATAAAACAATCATTGGCCTAACTACAGGGGTGCCCGGAATGCCAATATAAAAAATCACACATATTTTAAACTCAATTTATTAAAAAACAGACAAAAAGTTATTATTTTTCAATTTTCTCACAAAATAGCATAGTGATTCGTTGAAACTGAGTATCATGGATATTTAAAATCTGTGATCTGTGAAGTCAACGTCCATGTTTCGCGGCGATGTTCTCTCACTAATAGAACGAAACGGGAACGACTTTTCGAACAACACGTGGCTTTGTATATCTATAAGAAAAATATACCACGTTACCTGAGTATATAATAGTTGATAGATTGGTTTGAATGCCTGCGTGTTTTTGCCGTGGTACTCTCTTGGCACATGCCTAAAATCTTTACTAGCTTTATAGGAGTATTACTTGACTGAATTTGCTATACTAAGTTTTATTTTTTTTAGTGGTACTGAAAGTAGTTGCTACTCTGATTCGTCAATCAAAACAAACCGATCAGTTAATCGAAGTGAAGAAGCTTTTTCTCTCTGATATGACATTGCTGTGCAACAACAACCGAGAGAACAGGAGGACAGTTTTGCAAATGTCAGTGTGGCAAGAGTGGCTCATCGCCATGGCTTACATTCACCCACAAAACACCGAAGAACAGAAGTTATCCGATATGGTGTACGCCTTATTTCGAATGCTCCTACATCATGCCATTAAATACGAATACGGAGGCTGGAGAGTATGGGTTGATACTTTGGCTATTGTACATTCAAAGGTAAACAACATAATCCACATTAATTACATTAGCCTGCAATAACAATTTTTTTCTGGTGCCCTGGTACGATTTCTGTCGACTATTTTGTAAAATGACGTCTTGAATCCAAATATAGCTCCATTTTCTTTCACAACCCACAGTTTTCGGGGGAACATATTTTTATCACTTTTCGGTAATGATAATAATTTTATGGGCATGAATTTAATATGGAAAGGTGTAAAGGACGGGGGGGGGGCGGTCATTTTAGTCTGTAAGCAATAAGAAATAAAAAGATCGCTACCTTTATTTCGTGCTGCCTTGCCATTTTTATCCAAAATTGCATTCCACTTGTCGGAAAATCTCTTTTCCAGCTTAGCGATGTCTTGATGGAACCGTTACTCGTGTTCATCCGAGACTGCTCCAGGGGTGATTGAAGCAAATGCACTTTAAGAGACATGGCCTTGTCAAAGCTGTATAGTATATTATGTGGACCCACAAGAACTTTCTTGATTTTAGCCTCACTATGGCGAGGAAATTTAGTATTCAAAAATTGAAATGCGTCACCTGCCTTCGTTGTCTCGTGTATCGTCCGTTGCTTTCACATAATGTTTGATCTGGTTTTTCATCAAGGCCAAATGATCGTGGGCAACATTTTTTGACTAGCAGGAGTAAAATTTTCTCGAAATTTATTATAGTTTCTATACACTTTGGCAACATGTTGCTTTTTTCATCCATCATTCCGAAATTGACACTAAAGCCTATAAACCTGACTAAAAGAAATTTTGGCAAAAATGTTTAAATTTGTTGTATAATTTAAGATAACCAGCAGCTCTTCAATTTACTTTATAGGACTTTATAGAACTTTATAGATTGTAACAGATATTTTATTTAGATTAAAGCTGCAAACATTTGTTTAAAGCGATTTTTATTATCGCCATATTGGTCACATTGCTTGGCGATCAGCAACGTTGTCGTTTATTATTTGACAATTATCATAATGTCGGTCATTATTTTGTATAATACTTTGAATAAGAAGACTAAGGAAGGAGCATAATGCTATCCATGTATTCATGCATGGTGGGCGGACTCTAGGGTGGGGATCCTTGACAGTTCTGTTTGACGATTCATTTGACACATTTGAATTTGATTTGAAATTTTGTGGATTTGTCAGTCTTTACGGAGCTTATTTTATGTTATTTATTATTTATTCTACTCCTGATAGTTGTATAAAGGTAGTAAATCTAGATGGAAATTGTGGCAGAACTTAAATTAACCGTGACACTATCGCGATTTATCGAAAAAGACTCTAAAATAGTTGGTTGTGAGGCAAAAATCGAGTGAAGTAATGGAACAGCTTTTCGCTAGTAAGTGACTATATAATATACATAAGTGTAGTAAACCGATCTTTTATGAATTTCGCTTAAATTAACTAATTATATATTTTTTCTTGCATTTTTGCTTTTATTTACTACTTGTCAAAGATTAGATGTCAAAGAATTTAGATACGTCAATTTGACTTACCTGCTTCAGTAGCGTATCGGATGTTTGTGTTAATAAATAATTATTAAAACTTATCTATTTTTATTATAATAATATGTTATTATAACAATTTTAATAACTACCAACATTTATATACAACGTACAATAAAAAAAAAATATTGAGTCTACCCCACGTCTACCCTACATCATAGTTTTACATTTTTTAATTAAAATTAGAACGGCACTGATAAACCGGAATTTAAGTCAGCCATATTTGAGTCCCATCGCGGTGTACCTAAGATTTTTGATATGCTCCTTCCTTAGTCTTCTTATTCAAAGGTATAATATCGTGTTGTTGTTGAACCTTTGGGAGTAAAGCTTGATTTTCATGCGTCCGTTATCCGTTGATACGATGGTCCGATATTAATTTTATGGGTTCAATTGGACTTCAATTGGTTAGAAACGGTTAACCAATCCGACTCTTTACATTCAACCAATGCATGAAAATCAAGCTTAATTCTCATTTTTTGCCGATTTTCATCGTTTTTTTTTAATTGTACTTTTAAACGCAAACAGTTCTTTTAAGAACTAAGTTTTCAAGTTTTTGTACTGCATTTCTTGTGATCTTGTGTGTTGAAAATATGCCGAAGCATTTAAAAAGTCGAAGCAAAGAGCTTGTAGCTTTCCTGATAAATTATTTTGAATTTGACAATAAAAGTCCTTTATTACCTTTGCATTACTAAGTTTTAATTACCTACTAGGTGTAAACGGTGAAATATGTCAAAAATAAGGGAAAAAGTTAGTTCTTAAAAGAACTGTTTGCGTTTAAAAGTACAATTAAAAAAGACGATGAAAATCGGCAAAAAATGAGAATTAAGCTTGATTTTCATGCAGCCGTTGTCCGACGATACGTTGATACGATATTAATTTTATTGGTAGAATTTAAAGACTTTGATTGGTTAGAAAATAACGCAGTTTTTTAATTTATTGCATTTTCATGCCTCCGTTTATCGGATATACGTTGGTGTCATTCTTTGAATAAGAAGACTAAGGATGGAGCATATCAAAAATCTTAGGTACACCGCGATGGGCCTCAAATATGGCCGACTTAAATTCCGGTTTATCAGTGTCGTTCTAATTTTATTTAAAAAATGTAAAACTATGATGTAGGGTAGACGTGGGGTAGACTCAATAATTTGTTGTTTTATTTTACGTTGTGAATAAATGTTGGTAGTTTTTAAAATTGTTATAAAAATATATAATTCTAATAAAAATAGATAAGTTATAATAAGTATTTATTAACACAAACATCCGATACGCTACTGAAGCAGGTAAGTCAAATTAACGTATCTAAATTCTTTGACATCTAATCTTTGACAAGTAATAAATAAAAGCTAAAATGCAAGAAAAATATATAATTTAGTTAATTTAAGTGAATTTCATAAATGATCGGTTTACTATACGTATGTATATTATATAGTCACTTACTAGGGAAAAGTTGTTCCATTATTTCACTCAATTTTTGCCGAGATCTACCGCACGCTACACAACCAACTATTTTAGAGTCTTTTTCGATAAATCGCGATAGTGTCACTGTTAATTTAAGTTCTGCCACAATTTCCATCTCGATTTACTACCTTTATACAACTATCAGTAGTAGAATAAATAATAAATAACATAAAATAAGCTCCGTAAAGGCTGACAAATCCACAAAATTTCAAATCAAATTCAAATGTGTCAAATGAATCGTCAAACAGAACTGTCAAGGATCCCCACCCTAGAGAGCTTTTATGGTGGCTTTTCCGCCCACCATGCATGAATACATGGATCGCATTATGCTCCTTCCTTAGTCTTCTTATTCAAAGGTGTCATTTTATTTTTTCGTTTCCATAACGATTTTGCTATTTTACTTATACCGTATGATCGAGAAAAAACGGCGTCAGCGATGGCTATAAAATGAAGATCGCTGTCATTTTATATGTAAATTTATATGGGAAATGTCATCGATCGTCGTTTCCCAGCCAACTGGACGCCGTTTATTTTCGATCATACGGTATTTTTATTAAGGTTAGATTAAATTTGTCAAAAAAGTGTCAAAACGTCCGTTATCGTATGAACGGGTCAGTTGACGGGCTGAAGTAAAATATTGACGGATAATAAGTGGCGTGAAGACGCTATGACCAATCAGAGCACCGTCGGACCATCGTATCAACGTATAACGGATGCATGAAAATCAAGCTTAAGGCTCTACTACCCCAGAAATAACAATGTAGAAGCCAAAATAATCCTTTTCATCCTACCAAGCTATCGAAAAGCAGTAAAAATAGCGGGTATCCTTCAAAATGTCATATTTGGATTGAGGAGGGCATTTTACATAAGAATCGGCAAGAATTTTGTCAGGGCCGATTTTCATGCAGACTAGTGTAATGTGTTTCCTTTTTAACGATTTAAAAATTGTAGGTGTCTTACGAAGAATTTAAGCTGCAATTTTCGCAAGTTTACGAACACTACGAAAGACATCGCGCAGACCAAATTACTGATCCCCAGTTAAGACAGCAGCATCCGATCAGTACAATTTCAGGATGGCACGGTCAGCCTCCAAACATGCACAACGGTTGTCACGCTGACGAAGAGAATTGGCACAGCAGTCGGCCGATCATTCAAGAGATCGAAATGAACGAAAACGATAAAAGCGAGCAAGTTTGTAGTTGCGACTACAATTCGACTATTTCCGAAGGCAGTCCAGTTTCGTACATCGCTAAACACGACGACAGTGAAGGTGTTTCTCTAGATTCCAGGACTAGTGACTTATTTAGTGATAACAAAATCGGGAAAGATTCTCCTTTTTCGCAGGATTCACCTCTCAAATCGCAAATAGAAGAGGATACGTCCGTTGGATCGCCTTTATGTAACGGGATACATACGGGAAGTAGTACGAGTTACGGTAGTCCAGCCAAAAGCGAAGATCAACAGAAAACTAAAATTATTGAAGAAATCGTTCAAGAAATTCTATCCAAATCTGAAAAACTTCTAGAAGAGCAAGGCGATATTCCATACTTAAACACCGACGTTGATAAGGTATCTGAGGTTCATGATAAGGAAGTTATTGATATTATAGATGACTCAAAGGTCGCAGAACTAAATGCTAGAAATATAGAAAAACAGCTCATTAAGGAAGAACTGATCCCGGTGAGCCCGGTTAAAAGTATAGGTAATGAAAAGGAACTTCTCGACAGTGAATCAGAACGGTACTTAACTCCAACGGAAGAAATCATAGAGAAGAAGGATCCTGAATCAGAAATTAAAGAACAAAGTGATACATTGTTAAGCGAAGTGAAATCGGACACTGGTAACAGTGAGCCAACCTCTGTAAATTTAGACGTAAAATTAAAAGAAGAAGGACAGGGTGATGTTAGTGATAAAATTAATCTTAGTAATAGTGAAATTGCAATTAATAAATCTAACGCTGTGCCAATTGTTGAAAATAGTGCTGTGTCTGTAGAAATAGAGCCGTCCAACCAAAACAATTCTAGTCTACAAGAAATAAACATTCCAATCGGTGATAATGTCGATTCTAAAATTAAGCTAGAGTACGAAGAGGGCACTACCGGGGAACAAGTGCCTGTTGTTGAGAAAATACCGACAATTTCGCAATACTGTGATCCTAGCTATTCCGCTACCACTAATACCGCTACGAATACCTCTGCCGATATTGTCGATAGCGTCGTGCCGAAAGAGGAAGTTATAGTTACTTCGGAGAGAAACGAAGTGCCTCAATCGGAAGCTCGCAGGCGAATAAGCCTTCCATCTAATCACATAGAATCCCAAACCGAAGATCTTAGTAGTAATTCACACGTGCCTCAAGCTTCGCCCCAAAGGAGACCTAGGAGCGCCTCCATTTCTACCCAAGTAGATTCCAATCAGTTTGGTAAGCGTTGTGTATTAGAAATATTTTTTATGTCTTGCTGGTAATTTTGTTTCGTGGTTGCGCGAATTCACTTATCGGTAAAATTTGACATTTCTTATTAAAAAATTATCCTCATTTAGAGTTTAGAACTAGAAAAGATTGAAAAATGGAATTGAGTATATTCCTGACTAACTCGAACAATTGTAAAGTGTATTTTGCGTAATACTGTACGATCGCAAAAAATCGCGTCACAGATAGCTTGAAAATGAAAATAGCAGTCATTTTATATGTAAAATTATATGGAGAATGTCGTCGATCGTCATATCCAAGCTGACAAGACGTCTTTTCTTTTCGATCATACAGTATTTGATTTAGAAGGAACTAAAAAGTATTCAAAATTCTGTAAATCTCTAAATAAAAACATAATACAAAGACTGGAACACGATATTTTTACAATTATGGCTCCCCACGTTGGGTGCCGAATCTATAAAAGATTGAAAAATGGAATTGAGTATATTCCTGACTAACTCGAATAATTGTAAAGTGTATTTTGTGTAATACTGTACGATCACAAAAAATCGCGTCACAGATAGCTTGAAAATAAAGATAGCAGTCATTTTATATGTAAAATTATATGGAGAATGTCGTCGATCGTCATATCCAAGCTGACAAGACGTCTTTTCTTTTCGATCATACAGTATTTGATTTAGAAGGAACTAAAAATTATTCAAAATTCTGTAAATCTCTAAATAAAAACATAATACAAAGACTGGACCACGATATTTTTACAATTATGGCTCCCCACGTTGGGCGCCGGAACTATAAAACATTGAAAAATGGAATTGAGTATATTCCTGACTAACTCGAACAATTGTAAAGTCTATTTTGCGTAATACTGTACGATCGCAAAAAATCGCGTCACAGATAGCTTGAAAATGAAGATAGCAGTCATTTTATATGTAAAATTATATGGAGAATGTCGTCGATCGTCATATCCAAGCTGACATGACGTCTTTTCTTTTCGATCATACAGTATTTGATTTAGAAGGAACTAAAAATTATTCAAAATTCTGTAAATCTCTAAATAAAAACATAATACTAAGACTGGAACACGACATTTTTACAATTATGGCTTCCCACGTTGGGCGCCATAATGTTGCTTACGTTTTATTTTTATCGTATTTTTTAGTTTTCAGTCGCAAGGATGGTTTAGGTATTTGACTTACCTTAACATTGACAGCTCTTACATGATCTGACTATTCGACTACAGTCGCTTTCTGGTGCCACAATCTTAATTTAACTTGAAATTTATTAAGTTGAATACCTTATTCCCTGTAAGAATACAAGTCAAAATCTGCTTTTGTTTTTTTTTCTGAATGTTTTAAAATAGAAATTATCCTAGAGTGGCAAAATTTGACTAGTGGATAAAAATTTGAAACTAAACAACTCTTTCAAACAATTTCTATATATAATTTGAGATTTTTAATAGGTAATACCAAATTTCACAGGTGTTAATTTTTGACAAGTTTTTTATCATTCCTCAGCCGTATTCGACGCTGTTTTTTTTTCAATCATACTGTATTTTCTCAATTTAGAACACTAATATCGCTTATTTATTCTAAAACAGAACCGAGAAATAGGAAATCGGACTCATCAGGCAGGCCGATGTTTAGTCCTGGCCCTACAAGACCTCCCTTTAGAATACCCGAGTTCAAGTGGTCCTACATCCACCAGCGTCTTTTGTCCGACGTGCTGTTCTCTCTGGAAACGGACATTCAGGTGTGGAGGAGCCACTCCACCAAATCGGTTCTGGACTTTGTGAACAGCAGCGACAACGCCATCTTTGTCGTCAATACCGTTCACTTGATATCCCAGCTCGTAGACAACTTGATCATAGCTTGCGGTGGATTGTTACCCTTACTAGCTTCTGCTACCTCACCAAATGTAAATATATAAGTATATCAATATAAGTTAGCGTGCACGCCATCAATATATTTGACGAATGCTTCAGGTTACGTTTATTACTTTGACTCATAGATAAATAGTACGTTGATATTAGCATATTTAGGAAAAAAAAATTTAAAGTTTTGATATGTTGAGGTTATACGTACTAAAAGGAGACTTTTTAAAATCAAAATAGTTTCTAACTGTAAAGTTCACCCCCAAAAACCACCCCCAATACGCATTGCGGTAGTTTTTCTCGTTTTTCTCGAAAACCATTAGTCGCACAGAAAATGTTATTCTTGTCAAAAATATTCCTTGTAAAATTTGCTACAAAAAACGTTCTATTGATTATTTATATTTATCCAAAAAAACATTGCCTATTCCACTAAACTAACATTCATACTTTCTTCTACATATTGTCATCGTCTATAGTTTCTAGAATATGCTCAGTATTCGAACAACTCATAGTTGTACATTTCATGCTGGCTTAAATGCAACTGCATCTTTTTACACAATCTTGTTTGTTGATGTTCAAATTATTCGTACTGTCATCCAAATATCTGAGAAAAATGAACAAGTTCTAGTCGTTGGACAAGATGTCGATCTCGTTGTTTTATTACTTTCCCCCGATGAAAAAGACATTCTTTTTCTAAAAGAAGCCATAGGTAATGTGAAACAACGAATGTATAGTTCGAGAGACTTGCAATCATCCAGTATTATACGTAATTTAAAAAAATCAATTTTATTTATTCACGCTATTAGCGGGTGTGACACAACATCAGGATTGTTTGGAAAAGGAAAACAACAATACGTACAAATATTTAATAAAGAAAAAGGCCTTGATAGTATCGTCGATATTTTTAACAATGCAAAGTCAACACCTGAAGAAATTGAAAAAGCTGGAGAGACGTTTATACTGAAACTATACAAACTTCAATCATCTGAACAGTAGACTCCTGTGGAACAGGCATATTAAGAACACTGCCAGCAAAGCCATAAAGGCTCTCATGATATGCAGAAGACTGGCCGGAAATAGATGGGGCTGCTCCCCTAACATTTTGCGCTGGATGTATACCATGATAGTAAGACCCATGATTACTTATGGAGCAGTTGCCTGGTACACAAAACTAGAGCAACGGACGGCAAGGCTAACCCTATGCAAAGTCCAGAGACTAGCATGTGTTTGCATCACAGGAGCCATGAGAACCTGTCCAACAGCAGCAATGGAGGTCATTCTAGATCTAACACCACTGCACATTGTCATTTGTAGATATGCCAATGCGACAATGTTTAGAATGGTCACTAACGGAATTAGTACTGGGAGAATTGTCAGATCAGGGGCTTGGAACACCCTCAAAAAGGAAATACCACTCCTGCAACTCCCAGTGGACGATATGCCAAGAACGTACAACTTTGACAAACATGTCAATGTAGTATTGAGCAATAAGAAGGATTGGAAGAGCGAAACGCTTGCCCATCAGTTAAAAGACCATACCATAACTTGGTATACTGATGCTTCCAAATCCAATACGGGAACAGGGATCGGAGTGTTTGGGCCGAGAGCTAATTACTCCGAACCAATGGGCCCTAGTATCCTACAGGCAGAAATCTACGCTATCGAGAGATGCGTACAACTTATCTTAGATAGGAACTATCGGACACAAGAAATAGCCATCTTATCTGATAGTCAAGCAGCGTTAAAGGCGATCAACTCAGTATCAATCGATTCGAAATTGGTCAAAGAATGCTTAGAGAAGCTGAATAAATTAGGCAAAGAAAACAAAGTCCTCCTACACTGGGTGCCTGCTCACCAAGGGATAGAAGGCAATGAAAAAGCAAATAATCTAGCTAGGAAAGGAGCGAACACTCCACTAACTGAACAAGAACCGTTCTGCTTTCCAAGTGGTAACCAACTCAAGGCGGAACTCAAGAACTTGGAAGATTCCATCCGCAACTTGGAATGGAAATCTTGCAATGGTCTAAGACACTCGAAGAAGTTTCTGAGGACTTATGATCAAGAAAAATCACAGATCTTCCTGGGTCTGAGTAAGAACAATCTTCGGATTGTCACGGGGTTTTTAACAGGACACTGTCTCCTCAATGAATACCTCAGTAGATTGAAACTAAGAAGAAACGGCGAATGCAGATTCTGTGGGGAAGATGGGGAAACACCAGTACACCTCATCACTGAGTGCGCCGAGACGACAACCATTCGTGCCATGAATTTTGGTACGACTGATATTGGAGATGGAGAACTACCCTCTATAAAACCGTCCCAGATACTGGCTTTTGTCAAAGCCCTGGGATTGTATGATGAGTTATGATTCAAGAAAGGGGGACACAATGGATCTGTAAGGTCTAAGTGATTAACCCCCCTCCCACTCATTCTAAATTCAAAAATTCTAAAAATCATCTGAAGGGAGCCTTAGTGAGCAAAGATACGCTTGTTAACTAACTTATTGAAAGGTAGTTGGTCAAGCAAACAGCACGGTACTTTTATCAAAATTGTCTCCCACATCTACTGCAGCTAGGCAACATCTGAAAAATCTTATGACAACCGGCAACATTTTCCATGACATTAACGTAAAGACTTTTTTATTGGTCAATTCTTTTATTGGATGCGACAGAAGAATAAGAAAAAGAAAAACTTGCACTCTAAGTTTCAAAGGAATTATTTGTTTGAATTTTAGTTTGGTAATAGTTTTGTCGTCTTTGGTTACATACACGCCAACTTTTATTGATTTCTCTATAAAAAGGAATGATAAATATTTAATAAAAAACTTGTTTACAGAGCGAATTAGATGTTATTGAACCTACCCAAGGCATGCCTATAGAAGTGGCTGTTAGTTTTCTGCAAAGACTAGTCAATATGGCTGACGTACTGATTTTTGCCAGTTCTCTGAACTTTGGAGAACTGGAAGCAGAGAAAAACATGTCCAGTGGAGGAATTTTAAGACAGTGTCTCAGATTAGTAAGCATGTCCTGTACTATTTTTGTTGGATTTTAATTGTGATATCGTAAATTTATTCTAAACACTTTGCTAAAACACTCTGTGTATTTTTAATTGTAAATAAGCAATGATTTTGAGTATATTCAGTTTGTGAATAAGTGAATAAGCTAAGTGTACGCAAAATTGCTTTTGAATGTTCCTATTTATTTTTAGCATGTTTTTATTATTGCCTTTTAACCTTAAAAATATTTTGAATTCAACACATAGTATGAATCGATTGTGTTTTAATGTAAATTCTCATTTAAACTGGAAATTTGTGAGAACGATTTTCTCGATCTAATGATCATTGATTATTCAGTCGTATTAAATTGCATTTACACGAAATTCTAGTCTGTAGAACTCAATAAATAATATGTTACTTTGGTTATAAGGTAATGATAAATTAAATTGAAATATAGGTAGATATAATACACACACACATTGTATTATCAATAATACAATAAAGCATTTTCTGTATGTAATATAGAAAGTGTTATACAAACTTTTTTTGGTTACTTTTTATCAAATATATGTGGTACCTTAGTTAATGAGTCAAATATTTTAAATATCCATCTCGTACAAATTTCATGTTTTCGCATAGAACTTAAAACGTTAAGCCACGTACAGACCTGAATACAATCGCTGGCAACATTGTCGGCCGACTGCATTTTTTTGTCGCTCTCGAGTCGGTCGCGGACACAACAACAACATCGGTCGGCATTTTATCTAAGGAATCGCCGAGTCGCTTGTTTTCCGTTTTTAATGGGAAACATCGGCAGGTCTGTACAGGGTGGGTCAAATTCGACGCTTTTAAATGGAAACACCCTGTTCTATAGGAGATAGACGAAAACTAATATCGGTGTCTGGAGCTCAATTTTCATCAAAAACATGATGGTGAAAACCGCACATCAATATCTGTTACCGTTTCGGAGTTACGGGGTGTTTTTCAAAATTGTGCATTTTTAACAAATCGCTGTAACTTTTTTGCTATGGAAAATGTTGTATTTCTATGAAAACATTTTCAAAGCACCTTTTTACGTAGAATTTAATGGTTTAAGTATAATTTTTTTAAAATTAATAATTTCAGAGTTATCAACAGAAAAAATGAGTTTTTATTTGGGACACCCTCTATATTTTTAATTAACTGAAAAGAATTTAAAATTACCTTTCCAAAAATATAGCACACTTGATATTTTGTTATAAAATGAAATACAGAATTTTTAAAAGTTCGCCACTTTTAACTAGTAGGCTTTGGACCCCTTATTGATGATATGCCCTTAATGGAACTCGAAAACATACTTTTCCAGCAAGATGACGCACCGCCTCTGAATGCTGAAGTTATCAGCAAATTTTTGCAGCCAATTTTAAGAATAATTGAATAGCTAACCAAGATCCCAGCCGTTGGCCGTCGAGGTCGCCCGACTTAGTGCCCATGGATCTAATCCAATGGATATATTTGCGGAAGAATAAAGATTCCTTATTCTTCCGTATAATCTAGACAAGAATTAGAAATACTTAGCAGTTATGAGAGGGTATCTTTCATCCCTACTGAGTTAATAAATTCCGCGAGAAATGTTCAAAAACTGCCCCGTCTGTCCATAACAGAAGGCGGTTGATCTGTCGAACACCTGTAGCAAAATCTCTTGAAAAAATATCTTGGTTTGCTATTTATTTTTATGGTTATTAGATATAGTTTCGAAAAATATATAATAGATATAGTTCGTCGAAAAAATATTTCAAATGGCCCTGGAAGGAGAAAGTGGAGGAATTAAGATTAACGGAGTTCCAATTAACAATATTAGATATGCAGATGATACGGCAATACTAGCACCAACTTTAGAGGATCTCCAGCAAATAATAAATAAGATAGGGGACATGGACATTCTTTTCAATAAATTAAAAATATATAGGGTGTCCCATATAAAAGATCAAATTTTTTGTAGATAATTCTTAAATTATTAATTTTAAAAAAATTATACTGAAACCATTAAATTCTACGTAAAAAGGTGCTTTGGAAATGTTTTCATAAAAATAGAACATTTTTCATAGCAAAAAAGTTACAGCGATTTGTTAAAAATGCATATTTTTGAAAAACACCCCGTATCTCCGAAACGGTAACAGATATCGATATGCGGTTTTCACCATCATGTTTTTGACAAAAATTGAGCTCCAGACACCGATATTAGTTTTCGTCTATCTCCTATAGAAAAGGGTGTTTTCCTTTAAAAGCGTCCAATTTGACCCACCCTGTACAGATTTTGTGATAGATACATCATTTAAACTAGTATAGGGGAGTTTTATTAATTGAAATTTGATGAATTAGTTTGTATTCGTGAATCGGTTTAATTTAAAATCATCAAAATGTGGTCAACAACACGTTGAATCTAATAGACAGTTTAAGACAAATGCCTTGCTCTATGGAATGTCTCTTGTAAAGAACACAGGGACCGCAACAAGAAAATGAACGACATAGCATGCACAAACCGCCGCGGCCGTTGTTATTATTAAATCGTCATTAGACGCTATTTTTACCAACTAGTTGCAAATTAGATGTGGACGCGATACAATTATTGTTTCAACTGTTAAAAAGAGAAGAAGTTGTAAAGATACAATCGGGCGACACGTTGCCAGCGATTGTATCCAAGTCTGTACATGGCTTTAGGGAAAAAAAACGGCGTTAGGGTTGGTTAGGACAAGATCACCAATGATTGAAATAGTTGGTTATATTTTCTTTTGCTCGTTTGATTGGCAATAAATCTAAGAAATTCGACTATTTATCGGCTGTTAAAAATAATAATAAAACGCATGTTAATGTACCTTTTAATCCGGGTGGTGCATTCATAAAATAATTAACTAGAAAGAAGTGTCAACTCTGTGTTAAATCGTGGAAACACGATACGCCACCGAAAGCCTTCGTTGTCGTCTGGAGAACTAATTTTCCAATTGACAGGTTGACATGATGGCTTCATTTTTATTTCCGTTTCCGGTTATTCATTGGCGGGCCCTATTTCAGTTTAAATGTATTTTGTACTCTTTCTTATCATAAATAAAACAAAACAAAATTTTATTCAAACATATTTATTTGAAATATGAGACAACGGGACTAAATAAATATAAAAAATAAAGAATTGAATGATTTCTACAGCAATTACTTAATTATATGCAATTTTAACGTAAATTAGTAAGGTATAAGCATGACTTACAGTAATTTGTAAATAAATACGCCTATTCACAGCCATCAAGGATAGAAAACGGGGCAGACATGAAAACGGGAGCCTTATACAAAAATCTGAAAACAGAAAAACAAATTTTTTTATACTAAAATTAACAATGTAAAAATATCAAGGTATAAAATATAAATATACTGTTTAAAAAAAGCGTCCATTATTCCCAAAGAGACCTGGTTTGTAAATCAAAAAAGAAGCAAAAAGAGACTTTTAGTCGGATAACAATCAGATTGTATCAGTCAGATTTACTGCATTATTGACAATAAATCGCACATACTGGAGATAACTAATGTTGGCTATAGTTAAAAATGATCTTACCTTGCTGTAAATTGTTTCCATTTTCAAAAAATCGCCGATCATAAACATAACAAAATTTTCTTGCATCTAAAAAATACAGAAATAGTGTTTATTTACTACCTATTTTTAATATACATGGGACATACCTAGTACTGCAGAAACGTCTTTTTTTCCAGGATTGTTCATGTAATAATATATTTTATATGCTTTACTACCTTTATATTTATAAATTTCTGCCGAAATATCAAATTGAATTTACAAAACAAAACTAACCGGAGAGAATTAAAATGGCGTCGAAATTTGTTCTAGAACAAATCTGAAGTTGTCTCTGAAATCTGTCAATTCTAAACTGTGAAGTTAGACAATAGTTAGACAGAATCATTGCTGTCCTTGTCTAGGCGGCCATACTTGTCGTCAGGAGATGACAGGATTGACACTAATGACTGTTTCCAATTTTCCTATTTCACTGTCACCCCCCTGGGTGCATTGCGGTGTGCGTTGGAAACAGGAAATCTCATACAAATTTTGAAAAAAATCTATTTTTAAAATAAAACTGAACCGGTAATGTAAAACCAGGCAAATATACCTTAAGTTGTCAATCTATGATTTTGTAAATAATAAGAGTGATTATAATAATTGACTTTATTCAAATTAAAGTTGTTTACAAATAAAAACAATATAATTACAGTATTTCAGATCTTGCTTGGCGCAGTCTAGAGTCTAGCTTAGGAGCTACTCAACTAAACCAAGAGGATCCGTGAACAAACCTAAGAAACTAAGGGAATTATAAAAATTAATATATCTATTATTGAAATTGGTATAAGCGTTATATAAAAAAAATTAACAGTTATTTTTAGAAGGAAAAAAAAAGTAACACAAGTGCATACATACCGATACAAAGACAGATTAATAACAATATTCAACAGCCACATTACCTATTTTTATTGTTTGTTAGAAATATCCAATAGACAATAAAATGCATTTGAAGTTTTAGATATTTTTAGAAATTTAAATTATATTAAATTTCTAACTTTCTCTTGAATTTTGCTCTAGAAATAAGCCAAGAATAATGTTAGTATTCATTTTCGATGTTGAACATTGTAGTTGTATTGAAAAATAGCATTTATTTTCATTGAAAAATATGTCGATTTCACAAATAACAAAGTCAAAACTTGTAAATTTTCAAAAAGATAAAGTAAAGCATAATTTGCTAAAAAAAATTGATTGAAGATTGGTTTTAGCATCAATACCAGTCAATAATAATCCTAGAACCCTTTAACACAGTATTGCCAACTATTTCAATCGTTGTTGATTGCTCCGTACAAGTAAAGAAATAAAAAAAAGATTATGTAGAATTGTTATATCACAAACTGCCTTTTGTCGTATCTTTCTTATATTTCAATTTGAACTTGAGTAAGATGTCATTGTTATGTGTAACGTAATAGGTATGCACCTGTGCCGTACGAAATTGTTTGGAGTGTAAAGAGAGAAGCAGGCCGCACCACGCAATTGCACCCACAACTACTTTAAATTCCAATCACAAGGCGGCGCATTTGCAATCGTTTATACGAGGAGTCCAGAACTCCCCTAAGGTAGGTGTAAATATTCCGAATCTATAGCCTTCATATATATTTATTAACTAAAGAATATCGACTCGAAACTGCACTCTGTGAAGCCGAGCCGGTGAAATGGGTATATAAATCTTCTGAAGGAATTTGGCATAGCTCCCTCAGTTAGGCGTGCTCAAACGTAGTGCACAAGCGTGGATTTTGAATTATCGATCGGATAACCCAAACAGCATTTGGACGTCGGGACAACGTTGTGTCACGCGACCAAACGTCGGGGCGCAACGTCGGCACAACCTCGTGCAAACCCTAGTCTGCACTAGTTTAGAGAATAATTTTTAGGTCGAAACGACGTTGGATACCGACGTTGACTAGCAGCCTAATTTAGTACAAACTGCAACGTTGTTTAAAATCCTAATTCACAGAAATACAAAACTATAATAATATGGCGTCTAAGTCGGGTTTTATCCTAAATTGGGATAATTATAGTAAAAATATTATTTTTATGATTTAGTTAGAGACATATGCCAGATGGCAGTAAAGGAAAACAAAACAAAAGTATTTAAGTGTGGAGGATGTTTGAAGATCATAATTATTGAAACCCTTTAACCGACTCTGTAACTCGTTACCCAAGGCAAAAAAGTTAAACGCAAACAACTTTATTGATAAATGTATTGTTTCTACTTTGAAAAATACTAATGGGCCTTAAAATTAAAGAAGTTTTAAAAAATTTCTTGAATTTTTTTTAGTTAAATGAGAATAATTTATTCGCAATCGAAAAAATTGTTTCCGCGTGTTGTTTAGGGTCAAATATTTCAAGTTAATGTATTCAAAAAGCGGGAAATGCTATTTTAGGAACGAAACATTTTCTTATTCAGCAGCATGGCGGCTTTTACTTTGTTGTTTTGGACATTAAGATGGAGTAGTTTGAGTAGTCGCATACTGGACTAATAAAGTCGCAGTTCAGCCTTAACAGGTAGTATATTAGTCGCAAGATTGCCTAATTTAGTCATCCTAGAGTCTAGCTTGTGCCGCCCTCTATATTCTAAATAAACGAGGGAGTGTAAAGTATCGGTAATATGTGAGTAAAGTGAGTAAAGTATCGGTAATATGTCGATGTATATTTAAATTTAGTTTTATATGTACCTTTCTTATGTCCCATTTTAATTAAGTTTTTTTTATAAAAACAAAAACAGAACAATGAAGTGAAAATTTAAGATTTAAGGTTATGGTTCAATACAGCTGCAAAAGGTAGTGGCTCGACGTCCTACCAACGTAAGAATAAGGAAATCTAAACAACGTTGGAATTAGTAAAACAGACGACGTTTGCATAACGTTGGAATAGGTCCTGAAAGTGACGTCGGAAAACTCTTTATTGCCCAACATTGTAACTACGTTGTCCGAATCACCTAAAGATCACTTAAGCAAAAAAGGTTACAAGGCAACGTTTATTCGACGTCGCAGAAGATTTTACTTTGTTGTAGTACTAGTTCAACGTCGGCACAACGTTACAACAACGTTTACATTTATTTTAATACCCAAGGTACGGAGCTAACTATTTTTTGTAACTAATCCAACGTTGCGTTTAGTAAACATGTGGTCGCAAGTCGCGAAAATGCTACTTGGGAATTAGACCAATAAGAGCCTAGACACAGCGGTTCATTCGTACGGCTTCGTACGGTTTTCGTTTGCGCTTCCGTTCGACGATGGCTGATCCAGCTAATCGATGTTCGGAATTTTGGAGTTGCGCTATTGCGCCAGTGTCTGTCTAACAGAAGGACTTATGTGAAATATACATGGACCGGTTATCTACTTGTCTCTGACTCGGCTTCAACATCAACACATTGCAGGGATAGGCGATAATCTATATAGAGTTAATAGATATATGATAGCCCTAGGCCCACTGTCCACGGAGGCGTAGCTTCATAGACGCGTATTCGTCATTATACGTTTGGTATACGCCTGGTTGCAGCTTCCATGCAAAACTGTGAACCTCTGTCGATAGGGCCGGGCTACATCGAAGGGAATTAAACTTGTTTATTTTTACCAAAATGAGAGTACAGCCGCGAGATTTGTGCAGATTGAGGATAAATATTTATATTTGTATAATAAATAACCTTGCTGAATATACAAGAAAAAAGATAACTGAGAGGGCTTGGAATAAAGTGGCGAATTAAATAAAATAGACAGGTGAATACCTGTCCATTTTATTTAATTCGTCGTTCGTTGAACGACATTGTCACAAATGGATGAAAACGTACGCTTGCAATACGCTTTCTGGACAGAGTTTATTTCGCTAGGCTACACAATTTGCACGGTGTATTTTGAAGCATCTATGAATCTATACCTCCGTGGACAATAGGCCTTCAACTTTTATATCGCTTTCAGCGCAAACTATGTATTTTTATGCTTTTCTTGAAATTGTATAGTTCTGTTGTTAAAGCTGTTATTACGCAAGCAACTTGTAAATTTATAACTGTATTTATTTTCAACATAAAATATGCGGTATTCTCTATAAAATAAAGTCTATCTGTATAAAGTTTACTTGAACTTTCCTAGTTTTGAGACGGGTCGCTAAATTTTCATCATTTTCTAGTTCCGTAGTTAAGAGAAACTATGTAGCAACTTTTCAACTAATATATATTCATATTCCCAGTAAGCAAACATAGTTTAGAGGCTTGTTAAAACTCGTTAAATGCTCTATACTACCTATGGAATACTCATAGTTTGGAAGTATTAACCACATAGCCCGTTTCGTTATAAAGATGAAATATATTTCATCTTTATAACGAATTTTTTTATTTAAAAAAATAAACTATTTATAAGAAAGCCAACTTTTAATATGTTCTATTCTATTTTATTGACTTTCAATAACACTGAAAATAAAAAAAAAATCACCCTTTGATTAAATACCATGGGTGTGCCGGGTGTTTCACTAAGAATAATAACTCTCGGCTGTATTAGGGCTGTATCTTATGGTGCGTTTAGACTTGAGCACGCACGAGCTGAGCGTGCGTACTCAAGTCTAAATTCTCCTGCAGCCCGTATATTGGCATTACATGTTCTTGTATTCTTTAGTCATCGATATAAACAGTAATAATATGTATTTGACAGTAGACGGTAGGGGGCGCTATCTTACAATTTAACAAACAGGCCCTAACTACCTTATTTTCTATAACACGGTGTAGATCACATATGTAGCTCTCTTGATTACCATTTCAATGAACCGTAAAATAGAAACTATTAATTCTATGTAATGGTCCGATGTATTAAGATTTAATAATTAAAATGACAAAGACAGTGAAGAAGAATTAACGCTTCAGTGAAGTAGTGAAGTTACTTTGAAGTAATAGTTTAAACGCCAAAGAGTTATTATATCAACATTTTGATAGTCTCAGCAGCGTTTTTTTATCGTTCAATAGGTTTTTCAAAATACCTCTATTAGAATACAATACAATCAACAGCGATCAATAGACCTACAATAACTGACTTCATCGTTTCACCTGGTTATGTATGTTCTTTTTTGTTCGTTAAGTCGTGCATTTAGAGGACGTTTTGTCTCTCAAATGTACGATTCAATGCACTCACAAAGCACCTATAGATGCACCCTTTCTCCTGTTTTGACGATTCCAGTTTTGTTTTTGATAAGACACTTATTAGAGTAGTCCTACCCAAGTAGCATTTTCACGACTTGCGACCACATGTTTACTAAACACGACGTTGGATTACTTACAAACAAACAGTTAGCTCCGTACCTTGGGTATTAAAATAAATGTAAACGTTGTGGTAACGTTGTGCCGACGTTGAACTAGTACTACAACAAAGTAAAAGCTTCTGCGACGTCGAATAAACGTTGTCTTGTAACCTTTTTTGCTTAAGTGATCTTTAGGTGATTCGGACAACGTAGTTACAATGTTGGGCAATAAAGAGTTTTCCGACGTCACTTTCTGGACCTATTCCAACGTTATGCAAACGTCGTCTGTTTTACTAATTCCAACGTTGTTTAGATTTCCTTATTCTTACGTTGGTAGGATGTCGAGCCACTACCTTTTTGCAACTGTATTGAACCATAACCTTAAATCTTAAATTTTCACTTCATTGTTCTGTTCAGTCAGACAGTTCAGTGCTGTTTTTGTTTTTATAGACATAAGAAAGGTACATATAAAACTAAATTTAAATATACATCGACATATTACCGATACTTTATCCACTCCCTCGTTTATTTAGAATATAGAGGGCGGCACAAGCTAGACTCTAGGATGACTAAATTAGGCAATCTTGCGACTAGTATACTACCTGTTAAGGCTGAACTGCGACTTTATTAGTCCAGTATGCGACTACTCCTGGACTACTCGAACTACTCCATCTTAATCTCCAAAACAACAAAGTGAAAGCCGCTATGTTGTTGAATAAGAAAATGTTTCGTTCCTAAAATAACAATTCTTGCTTTTTGAATACATTAACTTGAAATATTTGACCCTAAACAACACGCGGAAACAATTTTTTCGACTTCATTTTACTAAAAAAAATAAAGACATTTTTTAAAACTTCTTTAATTTTAAGGCCCATTGGTATTTTTCAAAGTAGAAACAATACATTTATCAATAAAGTTGTTTGCGTTTAACTGTTTTGCCTTGGGTAACGAGTTACAGAGTCGGTTAAAGTGTTTCCATAATTATGATCTTCAAACATCCTCCACACTTAAATACTTTTGTTTTGATTTCCTTTACTGCCATCTGGCATATGTCTCTAACTAAATCATAAAAATAATATTTTTACTATAATTATCCGAATTTAGGATAAAACACGACTTAGACGCCATATTATTATAGTTTTGTATTTCTGTGAATTAGGATTTTAAACAACGTTGCAGTTTGTACTAAATTAGGCTGCTAGCCAACGTCGGTATCCAACGTCGTTTCGACCCAAAAATTATTCTCCAAACTAGTGCAGACTAGGTTGTGCCGACGTTGCGCCCCGACGTTTGGTCGCGTGACACAACGTTATCCCGACGTCCAAATGCTGCTTGGGTAGACTTAAAACCAGTTTTAGTTTTATATTGCTTTGCTGTTTGCCTGATCTTTTATGACATTTCTTTCAAATATAAAATTGCCAGGAGAGAAAGAGCGATCATCTTCTTATGGCTAGCGCACCAATGAATCAGTACTGCAATTGGATATCTACCTAATTGAATTCTTTGCTCTAGAATATGGCAGACAATCTAGCCAGTCAGTCCAGCCCAGTTAAAGATCCAGAGAAACTGCTCCAAGACATGGACGTGAACCGTCTGCGCGCCGTCATTTATAGAGACGTGGTGAGAACGTTTATACAGGCATGTCAGTAGTTTTCACTAAATTCACTGTTAACGTTCTTCGTTCCAGGAGGAGACCAAGCAGGCCCAGTTCTTATCGCTGGCGATCGTGTACTTTATATCGGTGCTGATGGTGTCCAAGTACAGGGATATTTTAGAGCCGCCCGTGTCCGTTAGAGTGCCTAGCCCGTTACCGATTAGAAGTAATGGCACTTCTCATCATTCGGGAAGCCCACAGGGTTAGTAAAGTGATTATGGAGATTTTAGCGATGCTACATGTGGAAATTAAGCATTTATAAATATATTTTTAGATAAACTACAGCCTGAATATACATAAATAGGTACAGGGTGGGTCAAATTCGACGCTTTTAAACGGAAACACCCTTTGCTATAGGAGATAGACAAAAACTAATATCGGTGTCTTGCGCTCTTTCATCAAAAACATGATGGTGAAAACCGCACATTAATATCTGTTACCGTTTCGGAGTTACGGGGTTATTTTTCAAAAATGTGCATTTTTAACAAATCGCTGTAACTTTTTTGCTATGGAAAATTTTGTATTTCTATGAAAACATTTCCAAAGCACCTTTTTACATAGAATTTAATGGTTTAAGTATATATTTTTTTTAAATTATTAATTTAAGAGTTATCAACAGAAAAATTGATTTTTTATTTGGGACACCCTCTATATTTTTAATTAACTGAAAAGAATTTAAAATTACCTCTCCAAAAATATAGCACACTTGATATTTTGTTACAATCCCCTTCGAAATACAGAATTTTTAAAAGTTCGCCACTTTTAACTAGTATGCTTTGGACCCCTTATTGATGGAACTCGAAAACACATATTTTTCCAGCAAGACGACGCACCTCCTCTAAACGCTGAAGTTATCAGCAAATTTTTGCAGCCAATTTCAAGAATAATTGAATAGCTAACCAAGATCCCAGCCGTTGGCCGTCGAGGTCGCCTGACTTAGTGCCCATGGATCTAATCCTATGGATATATTTGCGGAAGAATAAAGATTCCTTATTCTTCCGTATAATCTAGACAAGAATTAGAAATACTTAGCAGTTATGAGAGGGTGTCTTTCACTTATACTGAGTTAATGAATTCCGCGAGAAATGTTCAAAAGCTCTGTCCAACAGAAGACGGTCGATATGTTGAACACCTGTAGCAAAATCCCATGTCTTGGTTCGCTATTTATTGTTATTGTTATTAGATATAGTTTAAATGTGTTGATGTTGGTTAAATATATTTTAAATTGTTATAAAATTCTGCATCTCTCATAGCATATATTATTTTCGTTTTAATTGATGCTCACAGCTAGAATTTTGCATTACAGCCGGTGCCGTTCAAAGCCTAGTTATTTAAAGCGGACGAATTTGTATATACTCTATATCTCGAAGAAGAATCGAACAAAATATCAAGTGTGTTATATTTTTGGAAAGGTAATTTTAAATTCTTTCTAATAAATTAAAAATATACAGGGTGTCCCATATGAAAAATCAAATTTTCTGTTGATAATTCTTAAATTATTCATTTAAAAAAAACTATACTTGAACCATTAAATTCTACGTAAAAAGGTGCTTTGGAAATATTTTCATAAAAATACAACATTTTCCATAGCAAAAAAGTTACAGCGATTTGTTAAAAATGCATATTTTTGAAAAACACCCCGTAACGGTAACAGATATCGATATGCGTTTTTCACCATCATGTTTTTGACAAAATTAAGCTCCAGACACCGATATTAGTTTTTGTCTATGTTCTATAGAAAAGGGTGTTTCCATTTAAAAGCGTCTAATTTGACCCACCCTGTACAGGATGTTGCTTCATGAGATAATAATATTTAAGGGGATGATTCTTGGACATATTCTAAGAAAAAACTTCTATAGTTCATACCAAATAAACTTTTAGTAACGTGATTAAGATTGACCTGCACAGCATTGCCTACTGTTGCATATTTTCTTTTAATCGAAATATTTTCTGGGAAACAGAATTAAATTAATTATAAATAAAAAACTCAAAATCTAAGTGAGGATGCAGTCAATAATCACCACACAGGCTAATAAAACTACTTTTTCAAATTTGTCAAGCTTTAGAGAATTTTATTCCCATCATCAGGACAGTTTGACTGAGTCAGTTAGCAGAAAAAAACATCTTCTGCACAAAAAGGCCTTAAAACTAGCAGCATATATCATTGGAATACAAAGACATTTCCTTTATAAAATATTAAAATACATATCCAACGACATTACTTTTCTTTAAACACAAAACAAGAGTTGTTGAGTCACTGTTTGATCGAGCTCGAAACAACAATGTAGAAATTAGTTTAGTGAATTAAAAAAAAATCCAATGTCATATGATGCTAGTTTTAGGGCCTTCTTGTGCAGAGGATGTTTTTTTTCTAATTGACTCAGTCAAACTGTCCTGATGATGGGAATAGAATTCTCGAAAGTTTGACAAATTTGCAAAAGTAGTTTTATTAAAAAGACTATTGTGTGGAAGCGATTTTAAGAATACAAAACCTTTTTTGTGTATCAAATTTTATAAAAATGGTATGGTATCATCGAAGATATTATAAAAAATAGCTTTTTTACCATCCTATATAGGGAATGCAATCCCGCAAATGCTGGATCCCGCAAATGCGGGATCCCTCTGTGATTCCGCGGGATCAAAGTTGCGGGATCTGCGGGATCGACACCAGGGGATTCTCCTTACAGCTTGGCCATTAAAAATAATTGAAACAAACAGGTTAATTGTTAGATTTCTTTCTGGCGTACCTAAGTGAAGAAAAGCGTTTAACTAGTACTTGTGGACAATTACGTCAAATAAACTGCCGGACATAATTATCGGGACAAGCAAAATTTTAGGGTAAATTTAAAGTTGAATATCTCTTGAACTAAAAAAGATTTTGGGATGCGGTTTGGACCAGGTTTTAGATGCATGTATTGTGATTAAGATACTATGTGGTTTTCAAAAATATGAAAATATATTTACCGAATTCTCGTATACAGGGTGTTTTATAAGAGTGAAAATTTGGTCAAGAATGTTTTTTACCGCAAATTTAAAATTTTTAAAAAATCGAAATTTTTACCAAGTACGACTAATCTGTATTGAAATTAGAAAAAAAAACAATTTGATCGGTTGTTTATTTTTTTTTGTTTTAAGGAAAATACGACGTTTTTTATACGATGGTCCTAAATGGTACAAAAAGCTTTGTACATTCTGCATATGCCAAAAAATTATTGATATAGAGTGTATCTGAAAGCAGATAACTAACACAAGTTAAAAAAAAACTTCAACATCAGAATAATATTTTTATTTATAAAATAAGTAGATAAATTATAATAAAATTTAAGTTTATTTAATATTAAATATATTTTTTGAACACCCTGTATACATCGGTCCAAATTTCTGTACAGATAAATGCATATTTTTCGAAAAAAAAATCGTATTTTCCTTAAAACAAATTTAAAAAAAAACACTAAATTGTTTTTTCTAATTTCAATACAGATTAGTCGTACATAGTTAAAATTTCGATTTTTCAAAAATTGTAAATTTTCGGTAAAAAAGATTCTTTACCAAATTTGTACACTATTATAAAACACCCTGTATACGAGAATTCGCTAAATATATTTTCGAAAATCACATACCATCTTAATCACAATAGATGCGTCTAAAACCTGGTCCAAACCGCATCCCAAAATCGGAGAGAGAAAAGAAAATCATTTATTGTTTACAATCCCGCAATTTTGCGGATCCGCGGGATTGATTACTTTAATCCCGCGGGTTTGCGGGATTGAGATTTTGGTGCGGGATTGCATTCCCTAATCCTATATCTCAAAAGTTAAGATATTTAGGACATACATTCATATAAAGCTTTTTTTCTTAGATAAGTCCAAGAATCGCCCCCTTAAATACTAGCGTGTCATTAAGGAACACCCTGTATATTACAATTTATATTCATCAACAACTTGGCCATAAATTTACTTTTTAGAAAGAAAATAGAATGCTTCTCACGCTTAATAAAAATTAAATTTAGATTCGTCTTTAAAAACACCAAATGTTTTTTTTTTTTAATTTTGATATATCAAGATCACATGCTACGCTCACTGTAGTTTACACTTTTTAAAATAAATCATATTTGTAGTATTAAAAATTCGTCGTTTATTATTATTAGATTTGTTTATTTTTTATTAGTAACCATTACTGAATAATGAGGTAATATTCTTCTGCTTGTCTGCAAATAAAATATACCGCTTATAGGAGCGATCAATAATACTTCAGTTGAGCTTTTTGCCAGTAGATGGCGTTACATCGTTCTGAATTACAGCTAAATCAAAATAAACAGTCTTTTTTTTTAATTCGATTATTTAATAAAAATTATTTCTAGCACTTTCTATTTATTCGTTTCATATACAGGATGCCCCAATTGATATAATTTATTTATATACAGAAGTGTTACGTTTCTTCGTTACATGGCATCAGTCAAAAATAAACACAAACGTGAAATAATTAAAAATGTTTGAAATTTACTGTCAAAGATCATTTGTGACACTGACATATGTACAGGGTGGGTCAAATTGGACGCTTTTAAAGGAAAACGCCCTTTTCTATAGGAGATAGACCAAAACTAATATCGGTGTCTAGAGCTCAATTTTCATCAAAAACATGATGGTGAAATCCGCACATCGATATGTGTTACCGTTTCGGAGTTACGGGGTGTTTTTCAAAAATGTGCATTTTTAACAAATCGCAGTAACTTTTTTGCTATGGAAAATTTTGTATTTCTATGAAAACATTTCCAAAGCACCTTTTTACGTAGAATATAATGGTTTAAGTATAATTTTTTTAAAATTAATAATTTAAGAGTTATCAACAGAAAAATTGATTTTTTATTGGTATATTTTTAATTAATTGAAGATAACTTAAAATTACCTATCCAAAAATATAGCACACATGATATTTTGTTATAATCCCCTTCGAAATACAGAATTTTTAAAAGTTCGCCACTTTTAACTAGTAGGTTGGTTGATTATATGCCCCTAATGGAACTCGAAAACATATTTTTCCAGCAAGACGAGGCACCGCCTCATAATGCTGAAGTTATCAGCGAATTTTTGCAGCCAATTTCTACAATAAGTGAATATCTAACCAAAATCCCAACCGTTGGCCGACGAGGCCACCGGACTTAGTGCCTATGGATCTAATGCTATGGATATCCTTGCAGAAGAA